AGATCATGACCACATCCGGTGTCCATCAACCATTTCACCCGTTTGCTGATGCACGTTGACATGGCGAAAACGTTCTTCGGCAAACCGTGCTGCTTCTTCCAGTCGACAGCCGATTCCCTGATTTCGTCCTTGCTCTGATCATATTCGAACATTATGCTGCTCTCCTTGGTCACCGGGAAGTAGTGCTTCTTGTATATATCATCCACCACCTCTCTCAGTATTTTCGCCCTTATCAATGATCGTTGGACTTGATAGGCTGATAATTCTCGATGATCACTGCTTTTGAACTTCTTCTCGTCAACGTATACATATTGATAAGGTTCATTCTCATTGTCCTCATAACCGTACCATTCCCCCTTTCGTTCCCATTGCCCTCTCTCGTCTTCGAGGTAGGTGATCTCTCCATTCTCGTCGACGTCGAGTACTTCTTTGAACCATACCATTTTCTCGGGGATCTCGGACTCGCCAGACCATCTCGACGATTCGCTCATCGCGTCATCATCATGTTCGTGGTAGACAGTCTCGGCTTCATCCGGTTCGACCTGGTCAACGTCCTTCTTGAAGCTGACCTTTCCCGCAGGAGCCGATTGCTTCAGGACTATCGCAGGCATCGCGATGGCCCTCCTTGCAATAGCTGGCGCTGCGGCCTTGGCGGCAGCCTTCGACTTGGCTTGCGCCTTGTCGCTTGACGTTGCCGGAGCTGAATTGTTCTTGATGAGCTCATGCTTGTACTTGCAAGCACTCCCCCTGTCGCACTTCCCCTTCTGAAACGCGAAGCATGCTCCATCCTCCCTCTTTGGTGATGACGACCTGGATTTGGACTTACCCTTTCCTTTCCCCTTGGGCATGTTCTCCAGCTTGTGCTCCGTCTTCTTGCTGTGGGAAAATGTGCACTCATTTCCTTTCACGCATCCCTTCGCCGATTTGAAGTGATACCAACAGGGATTATCTTTGCCTCCGCCCGGACTCTTGCCTCTGTCGCTGGCACCGTCGGACTTGCCGTTCTTGCCAGCGTGGCCCTTTGCTTTGGCTTTTGGGAGTACAGGAGCAGCATCAGGTCCTCCGGGTTTCCCCTTTCTGCCCTTGCCACCCTGGTTCTCCTGTTTGCCAGTGGCTGGAGCCGCATCTTTGCCGCCTGACTTCATCATCGACTTGACCGATCTCTCCTTCATGTCAAGCATCAGGTCCTCCCGATCCGCCTTGATCTGATGGTCGATCAACGCCAATAAGAATTCATACGTCTTCTGAGGATGCTTGTCCGGTAGTCTATGGTAGGCATTGAGGCCGAATTCCATCTTCTTGCTCCCTTTGATCTTCCTGTAAAGGATATCTCTGAGAGCCAGTTTACTGGGTCTGTCCTCGCTCCTCATCTTCAGCAGCAAATCATACCATTTGTTCCTGAACATAACCAAGTTCTTGTCTCCAGGAAAGTCAAGGTTGAATAGGTGCTCGATGTGGTAGACAAGATCCGTTCTATCGGATGTTCTGAATGATTGCATAACCAATGCCACCAGCTCTCGTCCCTTCACGATCACCCCTTGTTGATGTCGTAGTTCCGAGTGCCGCGTTGCGTCGAGGTACACGTCTTTGGCTTCGTCAGGTGCTTGTTTCAACATGTTCTGCATGCCCATGGCCATCTTAATATCTATCGTAGCAAATCTGTCGCCACCTGAATCGCTAAGCGCATTCAGGTCTGGGTTCAACCCAAGAGCCTGTTCCAACCATTTTGTCCATGTATCGGTATCTGGATCTGCACATGCGCTCAGAACATTCATCAGCAGTTGCATCTTCCAGTTATCAAGTTGGTGGATCTTTGGCCAAGCCGGAATGGATACCCTCTCAGCCTCTTTCCTCGAGATCCTCGGTCTATCGTTCTTGATCTCCCGATCATCTCTCGATCTTCTTCGTCTCCTCCGTGTCCGATTGTCATCTTCATCCTCTTCTCCTTCCTCGTCTTCTTCGTCCTCTTCGTCGTCGTCGTCCCCGTCTTCATCGTCGGGTGGGTCATCCGGAGGTCCTCCTCCGCCACCTGTGAGGCTTAACTGACGTCGATTTGCTCCCCGCCTATTTCCATTAGGTGAGAATCCACCGTAATCCAATGGGGGCGTAGTACCGTTGTTTCCCCCTCCATCACCACCACCAGTCGTAGTAGTGGATTGTGGGACATGCCCAACAACCCCTTGCATCTGGGATAGGTGTGCATCGATCATTGGATCACCGAAAGACGGAAAGAGAATCGAACCTGGCATTAGTGACGAATTAGGGTTCAGATTCGAAGACGATGACGGGACTAACCCAGCCACCTTCTTGTCTACCCTATTTGAATTAGCTTGGGATCCTCCCTCAGCGCGTTTCACTACTGCTCGTTCACGATGTCCATCTTTGCTGCTGGAGGCTTCCTGTGTCTCCAGCTTCTTGTGTGCACGCAGTTCCTCGTTGTCAGCATCGAGTTGACGAACAAAACTCTCTTCTTGCTTGAGCGTCGCCTCCCTTTCCTTCAGTTGTCCCTGAAGCTCATGCATCTCCTCAAGGTACTCATCGTACACTCCCTTAGCTGTCAATCTCCAGTACTCAGCCTCCTTCGACTTCTCGTCCATCGTGCACCGTTCTTCTTGTTTTGCTTCTTTGACCTGGGCTAACTCCAAGATCGCATCTTGACGATGACCGCCTTCGACAGCAATCATCTGGTCCTTCATCGACACGTCGGATTCATACTGTTTGACGATCTCTTCCTTCTCGCGAAGCAAGCAATCTGCTCTCTTTGATTCTTGTTCCGCAAATACTGTAACGTCATTCAGTCTCGCCATCAGCTGTTCCCTGGAGTCCTCCATAGAGTACGTCTCGGGGCGCTTGACAAGTGCGTGTTCCAACTGTGACTTCAGACTTTGGACCATCTCCTCCTCGTTGAACTTCTCGATAGATGTAGATGATTCGATGCCTCTGATTTGTTGCTGATAAACTGATATCTGCTGTGAAGCTTCACGGTGTATCTGATTTGCACGTATAGCTGACTCCTGCGCGGCCGACTTCTCGCTTGCCATGTAGGATTTCATCAATGCAATCTCCCGCTTCTGCTCCATGATAGTTCCTTCAGCTTGTCTCATCTGTTGCATTATAATATTCGACTCCATGTCTTTCTTTTCCCCGTACTGAAATGCGTTCATTTCCACCTTGCGCATCTGTTGGGCTTCTTCCTCAAACTTGCGCCATGCCTCAGCCATGTGGTGTTGGTGGTGACTCACTAGATGTCCCGACTGCTTGCTGGCAATCTCGCATCGTCTTTCCAGCTCCTGGATCCGGATGGTGCTTCCATAGTCTTCTTGGATGAAGATTCGCCATTGCTGCCGACATTTCATCAAGTGTCTTCTGATATTCCCCGATCTCCACCTCCATCTTATTCTTCTCCTTGATCGCGGCGCGAAACTCCGCACTGGTGGGTGATTTTGACCTCCCACCCTTCGATGTCGATCTCACGCCCTTCTGCGACGTCCGTGGTGTCGCAGGCGAAGATGATGATCTTCTCGGTGGGGATTCTCTTTGCTTCGACTCCTGATGAACATCGATCTGCTTCCATGATCTTGTGGGAGTGGATATGTCGCTGAATAGCGCGGAACCTCCGCTCCCAGGTTCATCCTGTGAATCCGCGATCATATCCATCACCGCAGGAAGAGCCATCAATCCATTGGATCCCTCTGAGCTGCTGTTCCCAAAAGTTGCAGTACTTGGGCTCGCTGAAGATGCCATTGTACTGTGTAGGTTATCGTTCCTTTATTGTCCCTGTACCCGCAATAAACCAGCTGTCTCTCTGTCCAGTGTAGAGCTTGTAGATACGGCTGATAACCTGTCAAGAGACGGCAAGGTGACGTCCCGTGGGACGCTATGCACCGAACCCTCCAGCTGTAATACCAACCACGTGGAAAGGTGTATACGGACGATGCCGTTATAGCCGAACCCGTGTAAACGTTGTAAGGGGGAAGGAATGATAGTTACAACAGTGGTCCTGACAAATGCAGCGCAAGCGAAGTGTTTTCCGCTCTCAATGCCGATCACGTATGATTGCAGCTACACATCAGATCTTGAACCTCAATTGTGTCTTGAGCCAAATGGCGATCAATGGAACTTGGAAAGCAACACCAACACAGACCTCAGAACAGCTTCCCAATTTAGGCACGGGGCCTAGAGGGTTTTAACAGTTGCTGTAACGACCCCTATGCAAAAGTTAAACTTTTGTGGATTTAATGGAAAACCCCTTGATTTCAATTCCAACCAAAAAGTTAAAGTCTTAAAGATCCAACCCAATAGCAGTCAAAATGTATATTCCCTTGTTGCAAGTAGACGGGGATGGCCCAACCGTCAAGCAAGCAAAACAGACAATGTGCTGCCCCTAGCCCCTTCTTGGGGGTGTCTTAAAATTGCGAACCTGCCAACATTGTGGTTTTCCCTTAGGTTTCCCTTGAACACCCGCCAAAAAAATGGTAGCCTAGAAAGCGACACACTGACACACAAAGTCTTTTGGGATTTGGCCGCGAACAACGCGGAGCCATCTATCCCAAACAACGTGCTGTGTCCCAAATCTGGGTCAGCTTTCCATCCCCAGTCGCACAGTGAGACCTCTTTTAGAAGGAAACCCACCAAGCAAAGAGAAAGCAACAAATGCCACTAAACAACGGGATATCATTCTCACCAACTCTCTTGCAGTACTGGCACCAGTGTTCTTACTTTCTCGATATACTCATACATAACCTTGCCTATAGCACACATTCTCCAGGCGAACTCGACCTGCTTGGCATGAAACAAACTCGCAGGTGCTCGCCAGGCGGCCTTCAAACAGAAATAACGCCCCGGTAGCAGAGGAAACATTGGCCGTAAACGATACCAACGTAGGGCATGTTGCCTCCCAAAGCTAATTGATCGGGTTGCTTCATGCAGAACCATCTAGTACAAAGCTTCAAGAGCATGGGTGTGTCCATTTTTTCCGATGGCCGTCACGCTCCGGCCGCCTCTCGATTGTTCTCATTCTTTGGCTGGATGGCCTGCCCGAGCCGCGGAGGTAAGTCGTACGGGCGCCGGCGAACGAGTCCTCAACAACGAGGCCGCTTCCCGGGGCGCCGAGGGGCTCCGAGCATCGTTTGGGTCAGCATTTGTGGTCGAACCCCTCGAGAGAAGTGGGCCCAGGGGTTCCGTTCCACCCCCTACGTGTAAAAAATTGGGCGAAGGAATGCAAAGGTGCCAGCAAAGCTTCGCGCGAGGAGCAAACAGCCAGCATCACCATGGCTTCGACAATACGATTCGCAATAGAACTCTTCTTTAGTCGCGAATCACAAAGAAGGGGTGATTGGAGGCGAAATCGACATGCAAGAGGGCGGACAGGCTGTGGGAAACGACCACTTTGATACAACAAAAAGGGCTTCCCAAAGACGAACACCCCCCCTCCAATTGCAAAAAGAGATTCCCTTCGTTTCACAGAAGTGGTTGGACAAACTCGTGATCCCACATAGATGTTAGGCTCCGGGCCGGTAGCTCTTGGCTTCAGAGACCAGGCGAAGTGACAAAGCTGCAGGAGGCCAACTGAATACCCAGAGAGACTTGAAGAGAAGTGTTCACAATGCGTTGCTGGCGGTCAATCAGAGAAACACTAGAGGACCAAAGCTGCTGTGGACCTGCGAGGAGTATTCTCAAATCAAAGCCACACCAGTACCAGCGATTCGATCCCATTTGAGTATCTCAAAAGCCTGGAATGCGGGTCCAGAACTTGCGTCGTTGAGCTGCCATGTCTGCGCCAGTTGCCCCCACTTTATTTTCGAGAGACAAGCTTCGACTCAGCCGTCATGAAGACGTTGCGCCCAAAGTTGATTTCGCTGACTGCGCGTGTCAATGCCGAGGTCCTCCAGTAGAGAGGTTAGAATAAGGGTACCAACCTTTTCTGCAGTCTATTTTAGTGGGTGAACCCTCCTCCAAAAAAGAAGCGGCAAAAGTTGGCACTACTGGACCTCGATGCATTCCAGCTGTCAACTGCCAAGCAAATTGGCCGAAACGGCAAAAAACAACCCGGCGGCGTCAGCTCCATGGGGCACAAGGCTGGAGGTTTCACCATGCGTGGCTCCGTTGGTGAGTGGCCCTTCCTGTGCAGGCCTGACCTGGTTTCGGGCGTGGCTTTAGCAGGTCCCTGATGTGTGTGTGTGTGTGCGGAGTGGCAGAATACCCTGCCACCACAATCGCTTATGATTTCAACCGCAGGTTGGCAAGGCCTCCAGTGATGAACCTTGCCCAACGAAGCTGCATCACTGGAGGGGATGCAAGGCCTGATCAGCCTTGTGTACCTGCAACATTTGAGTGATTCTGAAAGTCCTTTTGGCCCTCTTCTTTTGCCGCTGTAAGTGCTTCTTGTTGCTTCTGTAGCGTTTTCGATTCTACCGGAAAGCCAAGCGTACTCGAGACTTATCAGTTGTACTCGAGACTCATCAGTTGTACTCGAGACTCATCAGTTGTACTCGAAGGATTAGCACCCTCCCTTGGGAGTTGAAGTGTGACTACCCCAGCTTGGGGGAACCTCGGGTGTACCCATCGTGTGACCCCGGGCCGGTTCGCCGGAAAATTTGACCTCAACGTTCTTATCACAGCTCAGCGGAATTTCACGATTTAAGCAGGAACGAGGTTTCACTATCACTAAAGGGAAGGCAGCCGTCAGATCATAGCTAAGTCTCACCCTTCTTTCTTTCTTCTCGCCTTCGTCTTCCGCGTGCCCGTCTTCTGGTTCTTCGCCCGCCTAGGGATGGCTTCTCCTTCCTCCCGTTCTCTTCTTGCTGCCTTTCGTGACCCGCGCGTTCGTCCTCCTCCTCTTCGCCCGCTTAGGGATGGCCTGGTTGTCCTCGCGTTGTTCACCCTTTTCCTCGTCTTCGTCTTCTTGTCCATCTACCTGTTCCTACTCCTCTTCTTCCTCACGTAGTTTGGCTTGACGTCTTCTTCCCCTTCCGTTGCTATTTCGTGTCCGTCCTCTTGGCCCCTGTGTGGGATTCGACGTCTTCCTCCTCGAGCCTTGGTCTTCATCCTCTGTTCCTGTCTGGGCGGGATGCGTCGCCCTAAAAACGCATACTACATCCCTCTTCCTCTTCCTTCTTCCTTCTTCCTTCTTTTCTCCTTTTGTCTCCTTGTCTTCTGCTTCTTTTCTTTGCTTTTCTTTTTTCTCCTTTCTCCTCTCCCCGGGCGGGCTGCGGCGCCCTAAATACGCATCTCGCTCCCTTTGTCTTCTTTTCTCTCCTTCTTCTTCTTCTCTTTCCCTTTCTTTCCTTTCTCCTTCCCCCGGGCGGGCTGCGGCGCCCTAAATACGCATCGGGCCCCCCTTTTTTCTCTTCTTGTTCTCTCTTTCTCGCGCTCTCTCTCTTTCTTTCTTTCCCTCTTTTCTCCTCCCTCTTTTCCAACTACTTCCTGTTGTTCCTCTTCGCCCGTTTAGGGATGGCGTGTTCGTGGTGTCGTTCTTCAACTTCGCGGTGCTCTTCTTCTACCAGGTTTAGGAGGGTTTCTAGGCTGTTTGGGGTTCTTCTCGGCGGTGACCCTAAACTCGGGTTTTGCTGTTTTTTCGTGTTTCTTGGTTGGGTTTTGCCCGCGGAGACCCAACGTGGGGCCTTTCTGTTTCCTTTGTTTTCCTGCTCTGTTTGTTTTCTGTTGGGGTCTTCGCCCGGTTTTGGGGCGCGTGTTTTCCCCCCCCCCCCCTCCCCCCCCCCGAAAAAGTGGTTCTCGCCCCTCTTTGAGGGGCGTGTGTGCGGAGTGGCAGAATACCCTGCCACCACAATCGCTTATGATTTCAACCGCAGGGGGGCAAGGCCTCCAGTGATGAACCTTGCCCAACGAAGCTGCATCACTGGAGGGGATGCAAGGCCTGATCAGCCTTGTGTACCTGCAACATTTGAGTGATTCTGAAAGTCCTTTTGGCCCTCTTCTTTTGCCGCTGTAAGTGCTTCTTGTTGCTTCTGTAGCGTTTTCGATTCTACCGGAAAGCCAAGCGTACTCGAGACTTATCAGTTGTACTCGAGACTCATCAGTTGTACTCGAGACTCATCAGTTGTACTCGAAGGATTAGCACCCTCCCTTGGGAGTTGAAGTGTGTGTGTGTGTGTGTGTCTTCCACTTAAGAGACTGTAATTGTTTTGCGCGTCGTTCAAAGAGAATCCACATTTCTTCCTGTCCTCGCCTCATTCTTGGTTTGTTGGCCCTGGATGTTTTCACTAGACTTAGACCTTCAACACAAAAGGGCTCCAAACGAAACTGGGGTTGGGCCAACCTCTTGGTTAGACATGGGTGTGGGTCAAAAGTAAACCACCACGAAACCACAGGTTTTAGTCCTTGGTTCCATTTACCAGGGCAAGCCATGTTGGGTACCCATTCTTGACCCACAGCCACATAAACCACCATTGTTTCAACAACCAACTTTGGGCTTCCCTTGGACCAGGGCAAACCGTTCCCAACTTCACGCCGAAGTCCCGCCTCCAGCTCCGCAAGTAGCAGGGCGCAACTGTCGACATGAGCGCGGAATCGCTTCAGCACGACCTGCCGGCTTCGGCCTTGACTCGACAACTTGGCTTCTGCAGGCGAGATCCAACCAAGAACACATCTGGGTGGCTCGTCTTTGTTACGCTGGGCCCCCAAACAATGGGGGCTGTCCTTTTAGTTTCCCCACAAAACCAGGCCCCCAACAAAAAGAAAGAACCGTGGAGGCAAACGCAAAAGCAGGCTGCGAAAACATAGAAGGCTCGAGTTGGTACCGGCTCGTCTTTGCAACCTTGTCTGAGCTTCTTCCTTTTTTTCCGGGTGTTGGGAATGAACCTGGGGATTCCAACTTAAAGGACGCCAAAAGGGTCCATCTCTTATTCCCTGAGAACCAGCAAGCAATGGACCTCCACTTGCGCAATGCAGCGCTGGAGGCCTTAGCCTTGCTGCGATAGGGCAGGGAAGGAGAAATGGATTGACCCCGAAACCATCCGTCCGATTTGGTGTCCTTTCAGTTGGAATCCCAAACCCGGAGGGTCCAAGTACCTGAGCTCTGGCTTCTGACAGGTAACAAGGGGTCTAAGTGCCTCCGAAGGAAACAAGCTTGAGGCAGGTACTTGGCAAAAAAGGCTAAGTGACCCTAAAGGCTAAGTAAAAAGGGGTCCAAGTCTGACCCTCCGGGAAAAAAACAAAAAAAACGGTCCAGGCCATTTCTCCTTCGCAGCTCAAATAGCTCCAGCTGCAAATTGTTCGGCCTTCCAGTCTCCCGGCCTCGAAGGGGGGCACCTTCTCATTGCCCTGGGCCTAGCTTCCGCAGTGAAAAGGTCGGCCCGACGGGCCACGTTACGTTGGTCGTGGTTGCTCAACAAAGGAAGGTGTGGTGGTCAAAAATGGGGTAACCACAAAATGGCTTGCCCTGGTAAATGGTAACAAAGACTAAAACCTGCGGTCCAATTCCTGGTGGCTTCATTTTGACCCATACCCAAATGGATATGGAGCAATGGCAGAAGGGAACCAAGGACTCAAACCTGCCGTCCCCTGAAGGTTGAATCTTGACATATCTCCCCTAGGTTGCCATCTTGTGTCCGGAAACCTAGATGTGGTCGCATGAATGGCACCGTTGTCCTACACGGGTTCTCCCATTTCGGGCGTCTGATGCAGTGAATTACCCGCCCTTGCCTGCAAAACAGTGTCCATGTTGAGTCGTGCAAAGTGCCGCGTCAAACTTGAACTTAGCCACCTTCAGCCCGCGATGGGTGGGTGTCCGAATGCATACCTAAGCTCTCTGTCAGTTGAATGAAACACACCGGGCCAAAGCAAAGCTCGACTCAGAACAAATAGTGTGTGGACAAGGGGCAAGTTCGTGCTCCGAAGTGTGAACCCATTCGACACAAGCATATGGCCATGGGTCAAAAACCCGTATTCCCAGTGAGAATCCAATCCCCACTAAAATAGACTAAACACATGGTCCCATTGGTTTTGACCCGCAGCCATATCACTGCGTACTGAACCAGAGATGACAAGCCAGGCCCTAGCAGCTTGGCAAGTGCTCCATGGTCCCCACGCCAATCCCATCGCGCGATGGGGACAAACCATCGGTCATGGTCCAGAAATGTAGTCATCCATCTTTTGTGGGAAGATACAAGGAGAGATGAAGAGGGCTTCCCAGAAGGAAACCAGTCTAAATTGGCCTTGACCCTGCGAAAACCAAGCCTAGCTTGGCCTTGATGACGCTCGCCTACAAAGTAGTCTTAGGGGTGCCCCCAACAAAACCAATCCGTGCGAAAGACTGAGCTGCCAGTTTACAAAGCCCAGGCCTACGGCTCGCAGTCTCCTTTCTCAGCTTTTCTCCAATAACCTACAAGTCAAAGGGAGCTTTTCCATTCTGCTCAAAACGGCTCTCGTCTTTGTTTCCGTCTACATTCTGGGTGCCGGTTTGGGGATTCCACGTTGTGCGCCACCATCTTATAGCTGTGTGTCAAAACCAATGGTACCATCTTGGTTGGTAGGTGAATTCGCCACCCATGTACTGGGGCTACGATTTGGATTTTGACCCACCTTATGAGAACCTCCACACTTGTTCCCAATCACGGCCCGGTTGGTTTCGGTCAAGGCCCCGGCTTTGATGGCCGCAGCGGCGCTGCGGAAGTTGCATTGCTCCAGGAACTGCGCCAAAGCCTCGAAGATGCGCACGGGACCTCGGAGGACACAGAAACCACACGTGTGTGTGTGTGTGTACTTGCTTGTTTGTTTTGTGGTTGGTTTTTGTTGCTTTGTTTTGTTGCCTTTATTGTGCAGTTTTGCTGCGCTTAGTTTTGTTTGTTTGTTTGTTTGCTGTGTGTTTGTTGTTTGTTTGTTTGCCTGCTTGTGTGTTTTCCATGTTTGCTTGTGTTTGTGTGTGTGTTTCGTTCCTTGCTTGTTTCGTCTTTGAGAGTACCCCTCTTTCTCTTTGGGTTGGCAAATCACACCCTTGCAATTTTCAAAGGACATCTGTGTGTGTGTGTGCGTGTGTTGGTTTGTTTGTTTGTTTGTTTGTTTGGTTGTTTGTTTGGTTGATTGGTTGATTGATTGATTGATTGCTTGCTTGCTTGCTTGTTTGATTGGTTGTTTGTTTGTTTGTTTGTGTTTGCAAAGGGAAAAAGCATTGTGTTGGGGTCCCTTATTTTCATACTCGCCCATATACGAGCATCTGTTGGTCTTCGTCGCTTACAATACATCCTATTGGACATAAAAATGTCAAAATGTCGAAGGGGTCTATGACCGTCCCTGCAAACCCCAAGTAAGGAGGGCTTTTGACCAAGGCATATGTATACATATACATACATACATATATATATATACATTGGGGGTGGCCCTGGACCACTAACAGTGAGCACAAATAGGGGCACAAAAAAAGCACCACAAAAAACAAGCAACTTTGCTTTTTTCAAAATTAGGTACCCGTGCAGGTCTGAAACCTAAATTACTCCTTCTGCATCTTGGGGGATGGAGTATTTGGACTATGACTTATTAGCCCAAATGCAATGGGAAAGTTAAATAGGCACACACAAAACGACGACTCAGCGTAGCTGTTACAACATTTCCTTTCCGTCCTTCCTTTCTGTTTCGCTTGATCACGCTGCTGCTTCCCACAACACCCCCTCCCAATCAACCTCCAACCTCCCCAGCGTAAGCCAGTTCCCATTCACAGCCCCTCCCAACCTTCTTTCAGCCTCCGCTCTCAACCTCCTCCCTGCCAACCAAGCTGCCCCAGCCCTCCCTCCCCCCAAACCTCCTTCTTACCTGCGGCCCTCACCCAAACCTCCCAGCCCTGCCTGCTTCAGAACCCTCTCACGCAGACCTCCAGCCCACAGCAACCCCCTCCCCCCTCCCTCCTCTCCCGTCTGCCCTTCCCACCAACCTTCTGTCTATGCTTTCTTCCTTCCTGTTTTCGTTCCAAGAGTGTTGCGGGGATCACTAACGTTTTTTTTTGGGGGGAGCACTAGCGCACTAACGCTTTTTTGAATCTGTCTTTCAGGACCCTGGGCTCCTCCACCAGGCCCACAAACGGAAGCGAAAAGAGGTGTTCTGGCTCTGGGCGAAGCGGCCAGCTCCGCGCTGACTGCGCCACTTCCTGCCTGCTTTGGATTTCGCAATCTGTCAGATCAAGATGTCAGAACTTGGTGTTAGCGTTGGCGATTTGCATTCAACTTGCAGCGACGGGGGAAAAGTGGTAGTGATAGTTGCCATCTATGTCAATGTGTATTTGCATTATATGTTTATGCTATGTCTATGTCTCTGTCTATGTTTACGACTCCTGAACCAGCTTTAAACTTGTCCTAGGTCCCCTAAATCCTAATGCACCTACAGCCCAGTGACCACCCCAAAAGCGCAGCACTAGAAACCAGTAGGGACAGAACCGTATTTGGGCCCGGGAATGAAAAGACACCACTCTACTCTCCACTGCATCATCATCATCATATAGACGAAACAAACACGCAACCTGAAATTGGTGGGGCGTGCTTACCCAAAACCAATTTGGGTTTGCTGGTGGTCATTTTTGCTGAGGTATTATGTATAAATAGCTTTATTTAACTGTTAGTGCTCGGGGGCACCCCCCAAAATATACATGTATATCTTGTACATTCAAAACCCTGAAAGTGTTTATTGGGGATGATCCCACCCAAACCGAATAAGTGGGGCGGCCATTTTCATCATGTTCATCTATCCCGGTCTATCCCTGGTGTTTCTTCGTTGGTAGGGACTATCTTCCCTGATGGCTGGGTTGTGAATGGGTCGATGTGTCATGGTCAGTGCCGTTGTGGGTCAGGGTCATGGTTCTCTTGATAGGAATCCTTCTGGTCTGAATTCCTAAGGGACCCACCTCAGAATATGGAGTGATCCCCACAATTAGGGGCTAAAGACGCACACCCACACACATCCATGTGCCCACTGATGTCGGGAACGTCCTTCTGGTCGCGTGTATCTGAGAATCTGAGTCTATCCTTTTGGTTTCCCTGTACAACCTTCCAACCCGAGCATTCCATATTTGTCTTTCCACAAATCCTTCTTTCCACAAACCACCCCAAACCCTTAGATAACGGCAGGTGTGCGAAACGACTATTAACACAACAAACCATGGTCGAACAGAAAGAGGGAATCAACCCCCCATGTTGCTTCCCTTGAAAAGCTGCTTGCTCCTTTCCTAGATTGCCCCACAATTTGAGACTATCTGTTGCTCAACAGGCCTCAGCGCACACACAGGGTTCGCTCTGCTTCACCCTGAAGCATCAACCAGCAAAGGAAGACTCATCCAAAGATGCCCACAGGTGATGCTCATAGTGGCTCCACAGAGGACTCTGATGTAGACCCCAAATTGAAAAGCCCGGATGAAAGCGGGGGCGGCCCGTTGAAGGCATGCCTCACGTTTTGGACTTACCCCTGCACCAATCCGACTGATCTATCCAAGTCAGCCTTCAATGGCTGACGCGCCCTTTCCAAGCGTCAGACCAGCTTCAGGAGCAGTCAGCGTCATCGCATGCACGCCGCGAGCTCGCCGCGAGCAAAGCGTTTTGCTCGTTTTTTTTTCCGAGGTGTTGGGGCCCCTTGGACTCCGATCCCACGGGGCGCACGCTGCTGATTCAGCGACTGTGGACTTTCAGCTGACACATTTTAATACCAAAAAAACAATTGATTTATGTTGATTTAACATTCCAAATTATTGTGTTTTTATTTTTATTTATTTTTATCTGGCGCTTGCGGATTGTGCACTTGCTTGTTGAAAGCTTGATAAGGATTCTGCGACGCGCGATCGACTCAGTACAAGTGCTGGTCGACAAAACTGCCGCACGGTGCGCTGCAAATGTCCGCCCACCCACCAGCATAGCACCTTTGTGATGGTAATTGGGCTAAATTGGAAGATCGAATTCCTTGTAAAAAGACCCCCCTCTTGTCAGGTGCCATATAGTGGGAGGGCAAGCAGTGACAATGCCGGGGGGACGCACGCGCAAACTTGAATCGGAGCACCTTCTTCGGCAGGCGCCTCGCAGCATGACGCAAAAATCCGCTCGTTCACTCATAATATGACTAGGTCCTCCAGCAGAGAGGTCAGAATATGGGGGTACCCTTTTTTTCCTGTAGTCTATTTGAGTAGGGGACCCCTCCCAACCAAAAAAGAAACGGTAAGAGTTGGCACCTAGCTGGGGGACCTAGCTGATGTGACGATCCCAGGCCTGATCCAGCTGTCTCAGCGCCTTGACGCGGCTAGCGATCTCCTGACGGATGAATCGCTTCATCCGATTCGCCGAGTCTCAGATCATGGGAAGCTCCCAGGGCCCCGAAATGGAGGACTTAGTTTCATTGACGGAGCGAGCCCTGCTGGGCTTTTCTGGCTAGTCTGGGGGAGTCTACTGTCTGCTGCAAACGACATCCCCGGAGAATGCAAGCTCGGTTTCCGTCCTCGCTCTCAAGGGTCGCTCCATTGGCTGCGCTGGGCAAAGGAGCTTGCTCTTTCACGAAGGCGCTCAGCACCTTGCGACGGGCGAGAACCGGTGAAACGAAACGTAGGTCTCGCAAACTCTGGGCTCAACGTCAACTCATTCTTTCAAATCACCTCTTAGGCTGCTATACTTATACACATCTTTTTGATCTAACAGAGCTAAGTCATAGCTGTGTCGAGACTCAAATCAGACCCCTCACGGTAGCTGTCCATTCAAGTGGGGCTTGATAAATCTCCCGGCCGCCAAGGCTACTTTTCCCGCATGGTGAAAGTCATTTGTTCCTTTGTGGTTTCCCTAATCATCCCATGTATCACGGATCTGTTGATCAACCCAATACCGACCTGGCCCCAGTGCTTTCAACCCATTCCCCCGGTCACACCTCCACAAGGCTGCAGGCATCCTTGGGCTTCTCTGCCTGAAAGTTGCGAAGTTTGGATTGATCCTTGCGCACCTGAATTCTGGGCGGAGGTTCCTGAATTCTTGGGGCGGACCAGCTGCCTTTGGGGGCGATCTTTCGTGTGGATGCCAGACGTCACCCTAGTTCCGGGTCTCTGGGCGGGGTTCCGTTCTCTTTCTCCCGCTTTGGGGCCGCTTTAAAGGGAAGCCAAAAGGAAAGCCGGACCATTTTAGGGGGTCCGATTCAAAAAAAAACATACCTGGCGCTGTCCAAACCCGATGTTCGCCATTGGTGCACATACCCCGAAGGCTTGCCAAAAGATCACCAGAGTTCACCGTGAAGGCTCCAAAAATCAACCCGAGGCGTGAGGGTTCCAAGGTCCTGACCTAAATTCGGACGTGGTTCTTTCCACATGTCCGAGGCTTCTTGGGCTTTCCGAGGAAAACACACGGAAAACGCTGCCTTCTGGATTCTGGGTCAAAGTTCCTCATGTCTGGACACCAGCAAAGAACATGTCGCAGCCCTGATGAATGCAGCCTGCGAGCAGCCAGCATTAACAAGCTTTCGTGCTGCTCTGCTTATACGAATGGGGTGCCTCAGTCGTCACAGCGGGTTACCTGAAACTTCCCTCACAGCTCTGAGCAGCGCGCAACCACTCTGTCGATGACTTTGCCGAGGTGAGCGTAGACGTTCTACAGGGCCGGTAAGCATTCACCATGGAGCCCACGATCCACGTACTCCACTTGGAACACCGTGATCACTTGAGGTTTGTCCAAGGGCCCCCGTGTATTCAAGCCTCTCGCAAAAACCTTCACAGGTTCAACAATCAACTCATCATCGAAGCAAGGGTGACTTGCGCCTGACTCTTGAGGTATGCCAGGTCCCCGTCCACTGTGCCCATCTGCGCGGGAGGGACTGACGGACTCAGGACCCACTAGAGAACCAACCTCCAAGTGTCGTACGGGAAAAATAAGGGTGGATGCCATATGGATATTGCAAGTAAATCAGTGACACCCAGGGCTGTGGAAAGTGACCACTTGTGTGATACAACAAAATGGGCTTCCCAAAGACTAATCCACCATAAAAAAGAGAAGATTCCCTTGTATCACAGAAGTGGGGAGAAACCCCTTGATCCCACAACCCTGGTGACACCCAACCGCAAAACCAGGGTGAATCACGGTAGATTGGGGGGGGGGGGGTTACTTGCAATATTTTGGGAATCCGCCGTACTCTTTATACCCAAGCTTAGTGGGAAGCTATGCCAGCACCACCAGTTGCCCTCTGCTCATTTGGCAATGCCCGGCGGATAAAACATAATGCTCACCCCTGATCCATAATCTATCACCTCCCATAAATTTGGGGAGGTGCATGAAGGGAAAAACCTAGCAAAAACGAAGCGGTGGGGGGAGGGGGGAAATGTGGTGCTGCCCAGTTGTCATGACTGCAGCGGTTGCACCCCATTGATAGCTGCCAACAGCTGTGAAACCCGACAAGCAAAAAAGGGAGGCGTTTGCCGTATGAGCCACAGTCTAAACAGGCTGTCCATGCTTTGGGAAATTAGGGCTTACTAGATGTACGCTCGAAAGTTGCGATCTACTGGTGTATTCAAACGATACAAGCGCCACACTCACTTGATTTCCCCTTCAAACATCGCCATCCACCTGTTGGTTCCAACGAAAGAAGCGCTACGATTGCAAGTTTAAGCGAAGAGCACATTGAATTAACCCCAAGCAGAACGCAACTTGGATCCACGTGAACTCCACTTGGATAGGTGGCCGTTGTAAGTTCCGCCAAAGCTGATGCTTTTAACAACTTGCAAAGTATTCCGCTGAGGTGATGACAGAACTTCCGGCGTTCGATGATCTGCCCCTCATGTACACCTAGACCCCACATTGTCTCTCTACTTTGTCTTGCGGTAGATCATGTCCTTCGCTTTTGATATCTTGGGTGATTTTGTCAAGCCAGCCTATTCTTGCCCAAGGGTCCAAGTAAGTTTTGTTTGAGGGTCCAAGTTTTTGCTGGTGGTTTGAGGGGTTGGGGTTGGAAAGTACCTGAGAAGGTATGTGGGTGTCGTTTTGGAGGGACGCCCCCAAAACAGTGGCTTCCCTTTGGTTTCCCTTTCAAACCAACCAAAAAGAGTACCTGCCAAAAAAAAAAAACAGACTCATATGGACCCTCAAGAGGCCCATGAAACACTCGTCACGGATCCGCTGGCCTCTGCTCTCCGGGCGCTAACAAAAAGTCTTCTCACTGAGCCAACTTTGAGGCGATCCGAACGGCCGCAGCTTCCAAGCGATCCGAAAACCGTTCCGGATCCAAATCGACATTATGAGTTTACCATCAAAGTTACCCTGTGGTCCAGGGAAACAAATTGAGCTGCGGACTTTTCTGGCTTGCCATCAAAGTCATCGCCCAAAGTGGCGAACTAAGGAAAATAGCTCCAGACTGATTGACACTACTAGCTTAACGTTAAAGTCACCCCCCCAAGCGGTTAAGGGAAACAACTTGAGCCGAGTTGGAGAACAGAAGCGGTCAAAGATAAGCCCTGGGGGCCTAAAGCCAAAGAAGCGATCGGAGATCCCCTGTTTGTATTGAAAATACGGAGCTTGAAGAAAGAAACAAGTCAATGATCCAATCAACCAAACAACCCAACAACCAAACACTGACACACATACACACATACACGCAGACACGCAGACACGCAGACACGCAGACACGCAGACACGCAGACACGCAGACACGCAGACACGCAGACACGCAGACACACAGACACACAGACACGCAGAGACGCAGACACATAGACAACCAGACACACAGACACACAGACACACAGACACGCAGACACACAGACACGCAGACACACAGACACGCAGAGACGCAGACACATAGACAACCAGACACACAGACACACAGACACACAGACACGCAGACACACAGACACGCAGAGACGCAGACACATAGACAACCAAACACACAGACACACAGACACACAGACACACAGACACACAGACACGCAGAGACGCAGACACATAGACACACAGACACACAGACACACAGACACACAGACACACAGACACACAGACACACAGACACACAGACACACAGACACACAGACACACAGACACACAGACACACAGACACACAGACACACAGACACACAGACACACAGACACACAGACACACGCACACAAAAGAAACAAAGAAAGACCCGAACCAAGACATCACAAAGAATCACAGAAACAACCAAAGCAAAGAAACGACGAATCATGCAAACACAGAAGCGAAGAAACAAAGAAACTAAGACGCACATAAACAAACGAAGTAGTAAAGAAGCAGGCAAGCAAGCAAGCAAGCAAGCAAGCAAGCTAGCAAACAAGCAAGCAAGCAAGCAAGCAAGCACGCAAGCAAGCAAGCAAGCAAGCACACCTTTCAGGCACCTTTTTGATCCTGCACTCCAAAGACTCAGCCCGGGCGAAATTTCGAGGATTTCTCCGCCGTGGGCTGTGAGGGCCACCGGACTGGGCAGGCAGCCAGTCCGAAGGTCCTTTCGAGATCACTGTGTCACAACTTCTGGTTACCTGAGCGAAAGGAGCAGCAGAACCTGACACTTCCGACTGAAACCTCGAGGGGCCCGGTGTTCCCCAAACACGGCTTGCCTCCCTTGCACATTCAGCGTCTCGCGGTTCTTTGCTGGCCAACACATTTGCGTGCTTGTACTAATTGCACCCTCAAACTACCCAATATGGGGTCAGACATTGAGTGCAATGCCGCTTACTAGTGCATTCAACCTTCCTAGCACCCCGTGTAACCATTTCTTCGGTCATTTGCGTGTATGACCTGTATGAAACCCGGATTTGTTCAACGTCTTGTCGAAACTAAGATGACAACAAACAACGGCAATATGGATCCATGGGGTCCCAGGCTGGAACCATTCAACACAGGTTTACCCACGAGTCCCATTGAATCATTCATTCCGCCCTCCTTGTTCGGACAGGTAACGCCTCAAACGTCAAGCTCTCAAATGTATGCTGTCCTTTTCGGATCTTTAAATAGGCCACACTTCACGTCCCCAGGGTTCCAAACAGGCCCATCGGAACCCAAACCCAGTATTGATAAAATGGGAGGGGGCGTGCCACTCAAGAGGAATTCTTTGAGGTTACAGCCCTCCATTGATCTGCCACGGGGTTGATACTGTTCCACTCGAAGAAGCCGAGCTGCGTCAAAGTACTTTGGGTACCAAGCCTCTTTGAGAGATGCACCCAAAAACACATGCACGCGCACAACCATAAATAGGGGCTTTGGGAAATGGCTAAAAGTAGACTAAAACCTGCGGTCCGGATCCTGGCTCTGAAACAATCGTAAGCTACTCTCTGAGGATTTGGCGCATCTGAAGGTGCCGCTCGCACCCTCCCTCTAAGCCAGGGCGGTGCTTGCACCGGAGCCTTCTTTGCCTCGTGGGGCGTAAGGGTCCGGATCAACCAACACAGGAAGTTCAAGCTTGCAATCCAACGAGTTCTGTGGGTGTCTGTTTTGAGGCTACCCCCCTTTTTGGTTGCTTTCATGGGAAACCATAAGAAAAACGAGGCCACTGCGGAGGGCCCAACCAAAAAAAAACAAACACCCAAGTATCATTTGAGGATAGCTGTTGTGCGCGGCTTATGTCCACTTTCTCCTTTCAGGTGCCAGCAAAAACCCTCTGGTAATTTTACCCGTCGACCCCGGTCAGCTCAAAAATGGGGTTCTGGGTTTAGGGACACCTCCCGTCGATTCGGCGGGAATGAGAAATGGAACCCACAGAAACCATCCCCAGAGTTCAGCTCATTCCCTTCAGGAATCCCCAGAATTGGTTTCTGAATTGACCTCAAATCCTCCGATTTGGTTCCTTTATTCAGGAATCCCCAGGTTCATTCCCTCAAATTATCTGCTGAGCAGCGACAAGCGAAGGACTACCCGTGTAACATGTACCAAGATTTGACCCATGAGGCATGTGAATATATCTTGCATACATAGGATGGTTGGGATCAAACAACGCAACGCTCAAGTCTAAGTTGCAGCCTGCAAAGCTCGGCTGCCCAGCGGCCATGGGTAAAAAAAGGGCACCCTTTTTGGGTTACTTGAGTTGAAAGGAACGCCTTAGCCCCAACAAAAATTAAAAAGGGCAAAGGAATCGGAACCCCTAGCCCAAAAAAAAGTGAAAAAAGGGCAAATGAATCGGAACCCCTAGCCAAAAAAAAAATGAAAAAAGGGCAAAGGAATCGGAACCGCTCAAGACCCGTTGAATTGAAAGGGGAACCCTTAGCCCAAACAAGACACTGAAAAAAGGGCACTGGGCAACAGAGAAAACGTGGAGTCCAACGCCAGGCCTCTGCTTCAGCAGCTTTGTAGCCGCCTTTACCTGTCGATAAGTAGCTGTGGGAATGAACCCGGGCTTTGGTCCCCTTAAAATACCAACCACCCGTTGGCTGGTTTGTAGGGGCTCATTCCATTTCTTATTCCCTGGGCACCAGCAAGCTTACCAACCACACATCTGATGCAACGCATGTTGGGAGCGTTCTTGATTGGCAAAATCGCGTGGCAGGCAAAGTTTCCTGGGCAGTCGGAATCTGGGAATCGAATCGCCCGGTTTGCTGGAGCCATTGTCCGCTCAGGAGCTGTTATCCCACAATGTATCCTAGTGAGCAAAATAGGTCGAGGCTTAAAATATGCACTGAGCGAGGCGAAAACAGATGCCGATGCTTTGAAGCACACAACATGCAAGCAGTTGTTGGCCGGCGCAGCCTCAAGCCGTACAAAGCTTGATCCAACTCTGGGTATAACAAAAACTGTCTGATCTGCGTCATATTCCGGCGTCCTTAAAGTATACATTTTCTGAGGAAACCCTGCAAGCTGCACTTTTATCCATATTATGATTTGTCCACGGACTGCTCTTGCGGCCACTTGTCGGTTCTCAAACTCTGCCCCCGGAATCTTTGGCTTGATCGCTGCGAGCCATCGCGCTTCGCTATCTGAACTCAGAAAACCGAGGCAAGACAGGCTCGAGTAGCCGCTTGGCATTCGCCGCCCGAATTGCCACAAGTTGGGGGATGTGCCGGGACATCTGCTTGGTTGACGTTGGAAGGGGAGCACAAATTTAAATTTTAGCAGTGATCTGGGGATTTCCCTCTAAACCACAATAAGCAAAGATGTAAAATGTTTTCCAACAACAACCATGTTTGGGGGTTGATGAATATTCCTGGCCCCCAAAGGATCATGAATAACTTGCCCAATTGAGTGGGACATATCATCTGTGCGAATTTCCTCCATGGTCATCCCATGTAAAGGACCTTTTGATCAACCCCCACATTTGTTAGGGCTTCTGGCCCACCATGCTGGCTGAAGCTTCTTCCCCCAGTCCAGTTTCGCATCCCCTGCCTTCCTCATCTGGGGCCGATGGCTCCTCCCGTTGACGAGACGGGGTTTCGGCAGCTTTGGCGGTGCCTCTCTCCAGGGAATTCTTCTCAGTTTGAGAGAAACCTGAATGAAACCCAGTTGCTTGGATCCCTTAACTTGGCTTCGAAACGCCAAGTATCCTTGGCTCAGACTGCTCTCCATTGCGCCCGGCAACCCTTCATGCACCTTTTCCTGTGCAAGGCGAAGGTGTCCTCTCTCAGGAAACTTGTAGAATCACACACAACACACACACACACAACCCCCCAAAAAAGCAAGACTTGCACATTCAGCACTATGTTTCAATGAAGACAAGATGCCAAGGGGCGCGCAAGAGACATGCGTACCAATTCCTTCGCACAACCCATTTCTAAGACACATATGCGCAAGACCCAAATGATTGGAGGAAACTATATTTAAATTTCAGTCATCCTTGAGGCTTGCGCAAAAGATACTGAAATCAAAAGGGTGATCCCCCCCAAAAAAAAACACACAAATCTCTTCTGGGCCCCTAAACCAAGAGGCAAAGTTCAGATTGAGTTCAACCAACAGGTAGTTGGAAACCCGAGTCCCCAACCGTCTTTCACTCCCAAGGTCCTTGGAGGTGACCATGCAGCGCCCCATCAAGGAATCCAGCCACTCATCCTCGGATCCAGCCGCGGGCACTGGATGTGCTCCAGCTGTTGGCCCTTTTTCTTTTCAGGTTCACAAGGCCAAGTGCAACGGGGATCCTTACATTATATTATACACCTGAACATTGCAACTAAATGGTGGTTTCCAACTTTATGTTGACCCATGCCCAAGGGGTCAAAGGAAAATCCCGATTCGCTGTCCGCGCCTCCTCCTTTGCAGCTTCTTTGGACTTGTCCTGCCGTGGCTGAGTTCGCCCTCCCACAAAAACCATGCGCCCCAACTGCATAGGGCTCCCACATGTGGCCAGCAAGTCTCATATGCCATTCGTTCCCTTGCACTCCACGAGAGAACCAACGAAGCGATCTGGCAACCAATGCCTTCAAAGGCTTGGAAGGGATTGCCATGGGTGAGGATTTTGGATTTCGGATATGTCCCCAAACATCACAAAAGAAAACACAGACACACAGTTGGAAACCAAACGGTGATCGTTGAGCCACCGTTCAAAAAAACATGGATATCCAGCCAGTGGCCCAAAAAAAAAAAACACAAAAAAACAACAGACACAGCCATAGACCCAAGCCAGCTCTGAGTATGTGTTTCTTTGCGGCTACCAAACCTGGCTTGCTGTTGACCCCTCTGCAAGAAGTTTCACTTTTTGTGGGTCCCATTCGGAAAACCCACAAAATAGTTCAATGAAAGGAAGGTCAAGTCCGAAGATCCGTGGCCAAATCGCCATAACTAGGTCCTCCAGTAGCGAGGTCAGAATAAGGGTACCCCTTTTTTGCCTGTCTACTTTAGCAAGAAAAACGGCTCCCCCAAAAAGAAACGGGTAAAAGTTGGCAGTTGCTGGGGACCTTCACAAAGAACCCATCCCTGGGGCCGGGCGTCCTTCTGGACCGGAGGGTCTGGCGCAATGGCCGGAGACAGGCGCCCCATCCTCGGAACTTTTCGGCCAGGGAAAACGACCCCCAAACACATCGGGTGGGGTGGGTTGGGGTGGGTTGGGGTGGAGCGGGGTGGAGTGGGGGGGTGGGGTGGGGTGGGGTGGGGTGGGGTGGGCCGGTGGGGGTGGGTGGGCAGGGAAAATTAGGGTAATTTGGGGACTGGCGACGGATTCTTTGCTGATTTCCTGTGTCAGATTGATCTATTTGTCCATACCTCATGCGCAAGCAGCCTTGTTTTCTGAGGGTTATATACAGGAGGAATGATGTAACCAACAATGCACATGATTCACAAGCAAAGCCTGGTTTCCTGACACAATATGCCGAACGCTTATTAACTTACGGCACATCACACTTGTGCGACCCCAAGATCAAACAACAACCCTATGTATGATTAGGACCCCACCCCGGCCCCACTTTCAACTAACTGGCTTAGGCTCGCATGCTTCAGGTGTCTCATTTCTCATTTTCTGCGCCAAGCAATCTCAGTGATAAATGAGTCATGGGGATGGTCATCCCTGTTTGGTCTCGGAGCCAGCCTCTCAACGGCACGTTGCCGTGGCGATTTTCAACAGGCAGCCATCCAATAGCACGTTCAAAGTCCCACTTGCCCACTCAGCCTTGCGCTTAGTGGGCATACTGTGACACGGCTTGTCTTTTTGATTTCCTTTAAAAACCAATCAAAAAGGGTACCAACTCAAAGAAACAATGTGGTTGTCCTGTTGGTTTCCCTTTAAAACGAACCAGAAAAGGGGACAACTCCCAAAAAGACGAGCCGTCCCATTGGACCGGAAGAAGAAAAAGAAAAACAGCCCGGCTGGGGTTCAGTGCAGGACCTGCGTTCCAGCAGCAGCAAGCGCCTCGGTTCGGCAGAAACGGTTCCCTGGGGAAACCTCCCGGCGATTCGGCCCACCCCCCAAGCAGAAACCATCGTCGATGGGGTTCCTTGAACTGGGGGAATTCGGACCCCAGCAAAAAAAATACATATTTTGTTGCCAGGGTAGTGGAAAACCAAAGGGACCCCAAAAAAGCAAAAAAGCAAAAAGTGGAGCTGATTCTGCGGAAGAAATCAGCATCGATCCAGACAAAAGCCATCCAGACAAAAGCCCCTGGGTCATCGCAAGTTTTTCAGGCGAAGGGAAGTTCAACCCAAAGGAACCAAACAGGGCTGCGGGGAATGACCAGGTCTGTGATACAACAGAAAGGGCTTCCCAAAGACTATGTTCTTCATATATAGGGGGATTCCCTTGCATCACAGAAGTGGGGCGAAACCCCTTGATCCCACAACCCTGGAACCAAACGATGCGGAAAGAAGACCCAGAGACCGTCAATCTCCCCTGGGGACGGGGGGAGCTGCCTGCGAAGTCTAAGCACAAAAGCTACACAAGACTCTGCATTCCAACGGGTCGACGTCAGGTTTTGACCAAACAAGTAGCGCCCAATGAATCTATGTATATAGTATACACAATATGGCTTTTGTCTGGATGCTCCAACTCCTTCCTTCTTCAACATTGGCCAGTCTATAGAAAAGTGCCCCAAAACTGACCTGGCTCCCTCAAAATAGTGGTGTCTTGTTGGTCCGGTGGAGGCTTCATGTTTCATTCGCTTCATGTTTGCAATGTCCCGTTTGTTCTGAATGGTCGTAAAGGAGTCCTGTTGCATCCATATGCGCCCTTTATGCAAAAAAAGCACATGGGCAAATCTATTTCTCACCAAACCAAGCGATGCAAAGCACACCTAAGGTCGTATCCCGCCTACTTTCTCGGACCCCCCACCCCCTTTATGGCCATGGGTCAAAAGCGCGAAATTCCAGTGAACATCAACCAATCCCCACTAAAATAGAATAAACTGGGTGGTGCACCTACCCCAAAATGGGATCCCATTGGTTTTGACCAACCCCCTATATCTATCTCTCTCTCTCTCTCGGTCGTCGCATCCATAGCCGGGAGATGAGTACCTCGCCTGCATGAGGGCGCCGTGCCAGGCTTCGACGCCCAGCTCTTTGCTGGCGGTGAACATGTGGATCCTGATGGACAAAAAACCATTCCTCACCTGCTGAGTGGATGGCCCCAAAAAAGTCCAAACTGTAGAGTTGCTACTAAAATGGTCTTCCCAAAAAGTTTTTAAAGTTCATGAACTCAGGCAGTGAGATTCCCAGCACTTGGAAACTATGGTTGAAACCAGAGCTTTTGTTGAAATGTTCAGGAGAATCGTATCATTCCAGGGTTTCAAAGACTTCCCCACTGGCACCCAACCCCCAAAGAAAAAATGTGAGCTAAGGCATATCAGGGCTTATTACCCCTTACTTACTCTGATGTGTGGCTTGTCCTGGGCTATGCTCCAGGGGTCCGCTGGTACCACCTCTGCAAGTTGGACTGGCGGAAAGTTTTCTCTTGGGTTCAAAAACTTCCAGACTTTCAAGTGAGACCCAATGGACACGACGGACCAGTTTCCGGTTGGCTTAAATATCAAGCCGCTTCACAAGTTCCCTTGGTTGAATCACAGCTGGACCTTCTCAAACCAGCTCCCCTGGGGCGGCATTTGCTCATGTTCAGCATTTGGGTGTGTCTTTCCTTTGAGGGCTCTCCTTTTTTTCTGGGCTTGAAGAGAGACCAACCGTACTTTCGCCATGAGACCAGCCACCCATAGTTGGATTCAGGGGTTGAGCCTCTGCGAGAGAAGAACGACTTTCCCCGTACATCAAGGACCTGGAACCCATCCGGGTAAAAGCACAAAAGCCAGTCGTGCCAAGTTGTTCAGCAAAAAACTGCTGACTTCTTGTCGTTCTCCAGCTGGAAACAGTCGAAATGGGCAACCAGTTTGGTTGAACCCTCTAAAAAGCAAAGGTACCAACTTGGTTTAAACAAGCCTCAAAAAAGACAAACGCATCGTTCTGTCCTCTGCGTCCCTCGCTCTTCCGACACCATCACGTCAAAGCCGACCTTGAAGGGAAGGATGTCAATTGGCCACAAACCTCTGGTGTTTAGCTTGTCTTGCGGGAGCCCTTGCGTTGCTCTGAAAGCCAAGGGAAAAAAAACCTGACAGAGCAACGCAAATCCCACAGAGCCAAGGGGCAAAAGGTTGGGTTTCAGCGAAGCTCTAGAAAGTTGCCCCTTTCGGAAACCCCAACTTTCCAGCTCTGTTTGAGGAAATCCATACACGTCCAAACTAGTGGTTGTAGCAGTTTCTACATGCGTCAAAACGGTTAAGGGTTCTCTTTTGGATCTTTCTTAACATTGCACAAAAACACCAACACGAATTTGTTTCCCGCCAAGGGTGCCTACAGTAGTTCTGACACACACACACACACCTCACACTACAACCCCTGCCCAGGGCTCCAACGCAGCGGCCAAAAAGGCCGCTGCGAACGGCTTCCTATATGGGAGGCACTGGAGTCAAAGGCCAACGGCCTCCTCGCAACTTTCTTGCGCCATCTTGCTGCCAGCTTGCTTTGCGGAGCAGCAAAGCAACTCGCGAATGGAAGCCAAGGGGCAAGTAGGCGCAGGCAAGCAGTTTGTGACGCCTTCAAATGTGCATGTGTTTAGGGACCACTCCAATTGCCCTAAGGCCTAGTGGTGATGCTTACTTACCAAGTGAGCCTCGTTCACATAAACTGATGACGGCTGACTCGTGCCTTCCTGGGGTAATAAAAGCCTCCCCTAATACAAAAAAACAAAACCGCTGGCAGAACATTTTCATTATTAGGGGGCCTCTGGTTCTGGAGGGCATGTTTGGGAGGCACCTCTTCTTCTTTGTAAGCTTTGCTGCAACTGCGGGCCCCCTTCCAAGGTCTTCGCATGTTGATTGTTTCTTCTGTTCTCCCTGTTTAGCAGTTTGGTCAAGTAACGTCATCTCCAAATGAATCCGGAAAGGGGTTGCATTTTCTTGATCCTCGCTTGCGAGGCAACAAGGGCCGCACTCCATGGGCCTGATGGTGACATCGGGCAATGGTCTCAACCTCACCGACGACCAAAGGCGCCCAAATCGGGAAAGACGTGGGACCAGCTCTCTTTGTTCAGGATCCAATGGGTACCTGAGACAATGAAGACTTTCTCTCGATTTCCCCCGTAAACATCATGACAAAAGGAAGTCAACCCCAAACTGACCCAAGAAATGATGCAATGAAACCGCGGAAAGGGACATCTTTGGAATGCCAGAGTGATGGGGTAGTTGTTCGTACTTGGAACGCAACCCCTGTCAAATCAGCCCCTCCATGGACAAGAGGCAACCAAAGATCGCACTATCACTAGGCATCCGCCCTCCTCCAGTGGTTTGGTTTGTTCAGATTCCACCAACGACAAGGGTGTTCCAGTTCCCTTGAAGAGTCCAAAGCGGGCCTTTCAGGATTTCGAAGGGGTCCTAAGGATGCCCTTGCCGAGTGATGTCCTGTTCAATGGAGTTCTTTTTCAGCACCCGGATCCCAGATCCCACTATATTATTTAGGCAACCAGCCATTTTCCTTCTGGTTTCCAAAGGGAGGCCGGCTCTTGGCTACCTACAAACCCACATAGCCTCCCGCCAATTTCACATGGAACTTGACCGGGCGTCCCTTTAAAAGGACCTTTTGTCTTCCAGGACACCCCTGTCAGGCTCCGTGTTATTTGCCGGGTGAGTTATTGGATGGAGTCCACTTCAGCGGAGATGCTGTCCCGCCTGTCCCGGTCTGAGCCGGCCGCGCGGCACTCGTTGACCCCCAATGGCAGGCCCGGCGCGGCTTCCTCCTCCCGCACCTACGGGGAGTGGCGTCCCCTGAAAACGGCGTCGGTCGGTTTTAGACTTGGTACCCCCCCCACCCCTTTTTTGTGGGGCTTTTTTGTGGGGCTTTCAAGGGAAACCAAAAGGGTACCCCCCTTTTGCGCCATATTGTTTTTTGTTTTTGGGGGAGGGTCCAGTACAAAGAAACAAGCAACACATCCCAGAATCGATGGCACCGAGATGGATGGCGACACTTTGTACCGCCTGAAAGGGTCCGCATTGTGCGCCATGCCATTGACAACCCTTTGGAAGGATCACTTTCAATGGGATAGATGCCCTCCACAAATGAACCCGAGAGGCGCCAGTTCTATTGGCCGCTAAGCTCACCGCCCAAAAAAGCAAATACCCGCATGTTTGGACATGATGCTAAAGCCTGAGCGGTGAACAAAGAGTACTTTGAACAGTCTGGTTTGTAAAACAGAACCTCCCGTACGAACCTTGGATTTAAGAAGAACCAGTTGGATTAACAGTGGGTATGACTTCGACAGTGCAGGAACCGCTCTATGTTTGAAATTGTCCCCCAATTCGTCAACCAGCGGTTTGCCTATCCTGGGTTCCTATTGCTCTTTGGGGTTTTCGGCCCCTACACTGCCGACCATAGCATGATCAATGTCCTCTTTAAAACTGTCAGCTTGTAGTGGGTGGAGGGGGCACAAGTACCATTGGATCGCTTCCCACAATCAGCTGGCTCCACTAACGAGTTGTGCACCTCCACTCACATATCCATCCGGGTGAAAAAAACGTCCTTCACCAACAAGGGTTACCCAACAACCACAATTGAGCGCCATCCAAATGGCACCAACTTCTGTTCGGCGAAAGAGTCACCAACGTGGTCGAATAAACAGCTGGAGAACAGGAAAAAACACGCACCAACATTAACTTTCCAGATCAAACCCAACGGACAACTGCAAGTTATGCTCGCGTTTTTCTTCTTTTGCGTCCCTTTACTTAATTACCCGTGTTTTTAGTCGAAACCCAAGGGACACCAACCATGTGTTGAGGTCCCCTATTTTGAGACACACCCTAGTTTGACGATGGTTTCCTCCGGCCCCGCGGCCTCCTCGACGTCTTTCGCCTTCTTGTTCCTGAAAAGCCAAGGAGCGATTTCTGGTACGAAGGGTGTACCCCTCATAGCCCTGAACTACATACCCTTGATACACACATCATATATATATATATATACATATCACATAAACATGTAATAAATATATGTATATATTAACAGCATACTGTATAAATACATTATCGTTGTATTATTGTTATTGGTACTGTCATTGCCATTGCTATTATGATGATGGTTTGCGATTCATTTTACTATTCTTGTAATGTATCATTATTATATTGTTCTTTTTTATCATACATGTTACTTTTATTCCTAGTCCTTGTTGTTATTATTAGTATGACTACAACTGTTGTTGTTAACTATTGTTCATCTGTGTTCATTATCATTATGGTTCTCGCCATCAGTATTTCCGTTGTGCGCGCGCCCGAGGCCCAAGATGTCGTGGATTGCAGTGGAGGGTATCGCAAAAGGATTCCTTGGTCTCAGAAGTATGCCCACTGTAGAGGGAGTAACAGCAAAGGTCTTCAGTGGTAGAGATCTGGCGCTCCCATCTCTAATCTGTGCGTCACGATTTGTCACTGTCTTTTGTATCCCCTCGGTGAGGAGGTAAGCCGCATCATGGAGTCCGGCGTTGTTGTCTCTTGGAATCTCTGTTTGGAATCTCTTCTTCTACTGCGTTGCGAAGGGTCCTAACTACCTTATGGGCCTCTACTCGCCTGAGCCCCAGTGCCCATTGTCATTGTTCTCATGATGATTGTTGTTGCTACTATCATTTTTAACAATCGTTATCAATATGGTCATTTTGACTATTATCATGTTTATCACAAGCATTAGTGTTTCTACTAATATTGTAGTATTGATAGTGCTATGGTTTGTTTTCTGTGCTTATTCAGTCATTCAATTATTGATTTGTTCATTTATATTTATGGAGAGTATAGTGTGTATATACATATATATATATATATGCAGTCTAGCAGTTTGGTGGTACAACCCCAATACATTGGGGGGTGCACAACATTACGCGACCAAGATGTTTGTTGCGGCCAAAAGAAGGACCCTTTTTTCTGTAGTCTATTTTAGTAGGGGAACCCTCCCCCCACAAAGGGTGGAAAGGCACTACTGGGGAACCTAGAACACAAACCCAGATGCAGATGTTTCATGAACCAAGGGCCCTACTATGCCTGTGGACAGCCTTCCGGGGCAAAAATATGATTTCTACAGTGATGGCCCTCCATAGGATTTGGATTCTGTTCAGTCAACCTTTAAAAAATCAGCGCCTTGACAAAATGGAGCCAATGGACTTTCGCCGCAACGGGACAAACTAGATACCAACTGCAGGAGGCAATGGCCAACCACTTCTTTGTGTCTTACTTTGAGGATACCCCAGCTTTTCTCCCCAGCAAATATATAGCTACGGGGTATCTGCCCATGGTTTTGGGCAGTTTCCAGGCAAAAATCCAAAGATTCCGGGCTGTTGAAGATACCATCTCAGGTTATTTTGGCTCACCCTAAACCCTAAACCCCAAAACCCTCAAGGTGCTGGCCCTCGGCTCGCGCCTCTTCTTGCCGCCCTCTGGCTCGTCCACATCCACACGCGAGACCAATCCGGAGCTCATGAGTCGCTCCACTGCAGCCTCGAGGTCAAAACCAAACCTTCGGTGGCCTAGAAATGACCAGGAAGAATCTTTGTCATGTGGTGACTTTCTCATCTTGTTTGGTGGCTTCCGCATTGGTCATCCGTGTGTATACCTTGTGATCAACCCCCCATGTCCCTTCCATCAAAAAGGGTGGGCCCTGAGGTTCAAGTACTTGAGTGATGAACCTCCCTGTCGTTTAGGTCATATGGCTTTGTCTTTTCCAGCTGCTACCCCTGTTTTCTTGTGGGTTTTCAAGCGACCCCACAAGGAAAGACATGTTGGGGCTCCTCTACAAACAGACGCACCCACATGTGTCCCGTGAAATATCACCCAACACCGTGGCAGGAGAGCCTGGAAGGCAGGGTGCACGTTCCCCGTGCCGCGCTCGTCTTTGTCCACACGCCTCACCCAAGACGAGACACAAATTCGGAAGTTGGGACTCTAGCCCCCATAGGTGTCCTTTTAGGGGACATAGATGGGTTTCCCTGGTAGATGATTAAACCACCAGGTAAAGCAGGGCCATCTATTTTCTACCAAAACAACAAAAGAGGACACCTAGGCTAGCCCCTTCAAAGGCAAACCCAAGCGGCGCTTAAACACAAGTCGTGCTTAGTCCTATCGGGGGTTTGCCCCACTGCTTTCACTCCAAAAGCGCATGACGGAACAAAATGACTGAATGACCAAGAAAACGATACCTGGAATCGAGCAGCTGGATTTGACACCCTCCGAAGCAATCTGGAGAATTCGGGGGGAAAAAGTGTCCTAAGAGGCGGTTGTGCTCCGTTGCATGATTTTCTGCCAGAGTGAAGACGAGCTTCTCCCAGGGTCCCATGGTCAAGTTTTTGCTTTGTTTGGCAAACCCGTAAGTTCCTGCCACTTGCCATGTACTCGTGCGCGCTTCAGCAGCTCGTGCGAGATCTGCGAAAGTGTGTGTGCATGTATGTGTCTGGCTCTGGAGTATTTGCGCGATGATGTGCTTGGCAGAATGCCCCCTTTTTAAGTTTGCACCCCACGCGCGCCACGAAGAATGGGCTCGCTGGAAAACACGGGTCACGGTTTGGGACACGCACCTTGCTCACACACTCACACCAACAGAGTTTATGGAACACTTGCTCATTTTAGCTGATCCATTGGCCAATGCAGTTGCATCTCTTGGCAAGGGCAGGTGCCTGTTCACAGGTGTGTTTGTGCGCACGATTGAATGGAACGTCATGTGGCGGCGTGATACACAGGTGGCAGCTGGCCTCAACAAACGTTCCTCCCCCTTGCTTCAGGCTGAATGCAACGCGTCATGCAGAGTGCAGTAAAACGGAAGGCAGCCGAAGCCTATGAACATCAAAAAAGACGAAGAGCAAGGATGCCCGGTAGAAAGTGTGTGATCTTTCATGGCATCTACTCTCAGTCAAGCAGATTTAACACCAAACTTCACTACACAGCAGCTCAGAGGCCCGTGTTGGAGCCACATCGCAAAAAAGAATGCCGGTTGTTGTTTGATTCGGTTCATGCTGTTACTGTAAAGATGAGCTTCTGACCCCAAAATAATTGGCTCAACCCCAAAAAACCTGAAGGAACCCAAAAAACCCAGGGAACCAACAAAAAAGTACTACATTCACCCACCTACGTAAGGGAAGGAAAACTGAGAACCCGGACACAATGAAGCCTCGCTGCCTTCCAGCTTGCTTGTCCTCGCACCGAATCCCTCTGATTGAAACTCTCGCAAGACATACAAAAAAATGAAATGTTCCATCCCCTAAAGCGCATGCTGAAAAAAGTCCCGGTTTTGAAATCAAAGTCCTTCTTCTTGCCCTTCTTCTCGTCTTCGTCAATGGCATGCTCCGCGAACATGGACTTCTGGAGGTTCGATGCCAAGTAGGTCCTCAGCCGCATCCGGTTTCGGGCCCTTGGAGGGCTTGTGGCGCCCATGCCCGAGGAGCAGGCAGGGTTTTCTTCGGCAAGTCATCCTGTCCGAGCGAAGAAACACTGTTGGAATGGCTGGCAAGACGATTTGCTTTTGTTTGTCTTTTTTCCATATAGATATCAACTTTATTCTCGTTATCCGATATAAAACAAGGGTGAAGAACTCTTGCGCACTCCAGATCTTCACCAATCAAGCCTCATCCCTGCCTTTGCTGATGGATTCCTTGTCTCTCTGCAGGCGCACGGGTGCAAACTGCAAGTGAGGCCTGCTAAAACTCCTTGTCATGGATGAGACCATTTTCACGGGCAGGCACGCACTTGCATACCCTTTGTTTCGCAAACTCACAGGGACAAGACACGCACACAAAATACATAGACACTCAAACACACAAACGCACTAAGAGACACAGAGACACAGAGACACAAACACACACACACAGAGACACACAGGCACAGACACAGACAAACATAGACACACAAACACAAGGACACACAGACACACAAACACACAAACACACAAACACACAAACACACATACCCGCATACACACATGCACACATACACACATACACACATACACACATACACACGTACACACATACACACATACACACGGATTTGGGGGACTCCTTCATGTTCGCAGTTCCTCAGAATAAAATGTTCGGATTCCGAGTCGTCATTGCTGCGCTCAAAATGACTTCCTGGACCCTCACCCATGAAAATGGGGTTGTCTCCCTGATGAGAGTTGCTCCCATGCGTCTGGCTGTCGAAATCTTTGAGCTCCCACGTTCCAGCCTCCGGCTTGTCACAGGTGAACACTCGTTCCCGTGCTTCCACCCACACCTCGCAGGAGAAAACACTCCCTTCCTATGCGCGGCTGTTCAATTTTTGGGGGTCTGCAACATCCAATGTCACTACTTCTTTTCGTAAGGGTTGACACAAGGTCATTTTTTCTGACAAAGAACATGAACTTAGAAGTCTGGCCTGGGAACATCAAATCTCCAAACCTGGAGCTGCCCCACATGAAGTATTGGCTGTAGTAGTTGTATTGACCATTACAACAACAGGATGTAATTCTCAAAGAGGCAAAATGTTTTGCCACTTTTATGAAACTAAATGCCAGCTGAAAGACTGGGTAACTGGGCTTGATCGAACTGTTGCTGCTTAGTAGGGCCCCTTCATTCCCTCAAAACGTTGTAGGCAAAGATCGACCCAAAGACCAACCAAGAAAAGGCCAGGTGTTTGGAGTAGTGGGTTGGCCTTGGTGATGCGCAAGTTTCCCAGAAAACATCCCGACTAAAAAGCCGTCCCACATCTCTGGGACCCGCCTGCCGTCCATCGTGGGCGACGTACCAGCCTTGAATCAAGCCCCAGCCACTCAGCCCTGGCCACTCAGTTGAACAAATCGGGTTTTCCCCACCTCCGTTTTTTTTGCCGCGCTTTTCAGGTACGAGTATCTCCGATGTTTTAGGGGAGAAAGTGGCAGCTGTGTGATCTTTTCGGGGGCTTTCTATGGTTTGGCACGCTTCATTCACCCGGTCTCTGCTGTGCAAAGATGGACGCATAGAGACCAAGTTGTCTTGCAAGGGGGGTCTATACACTTCGACGTTGTTGGCGGGAATGTGCGTTGGGACGCCACATGCGCACAACTCACAGTGAGATGCGGCAACAAGTCAAGGCTCAGCCTCACTTGGAGCTTGGCCAACGCAATCCCAGGGCTCAGCGAAGAAAGAGCCGCTTGGCGAGGCAAACAGCGAGAGCCCCAGCACTAACCACTGAAGAGGCCGGTTGAGTTTGGGAAAGCATTGCAGCCCAATTCCTGCCACCGGCTCCTTTTTCGGAAGTGCAACTCAACTCTTCGAAGCCAAAAACTTCGACAGTTACAAATCCGCCCTCCGGATTGCTCGGCCCTGGGCTCATTGGAGCGGCCTCGGGAAGCTGCTCAAGCCGAGGGCGCAAGTACGGTCCACGTGTGCGTGTGCGTGCGTGGGTGGGTGGGTGGGCGTGCGAGCCTGCGTGTCCGTGCGTGCGTGCGCGCGCGCGCGCGCGCGTGCGTGGGTGTGTCTGTATCTGTGTCTGTGTGTGTATTGGCAATGCTATGGGTATGAACCAAAAATTATATGGCGCATTTGGGGTTCTTTGCGGGGATGGTGGACATGCAACAGTTCATGAGTGTGCTCACCATTCAAGACCATAGCTACACCGGCTCACATGCATTACCCTCACCACAAACGTGGAACCTGCAAAGCAGAACTTTGAGCAGACTGCTTCATGCTTCACGGCGCCTCTCACCTCTCAGGTGCCTCCCAGCTCTGCGTGAGTTTTTCTTCAGTCGAGCGCGTAACACAGCAAGAGACGGGCTCCAGACCATGAGCGGTCTGAAGGAACCCCCAGGCTTTCGACTACGTTCGAGAACTGCGCGCCTCCCGGCTGTTAGCATGTTGGCTGACCCCTCGGCCAAAGCTGTGTCCCTGTGAGGTTTTGAGACGCCATGGGCGACTTTTTGGCCCGCACCCTCGGGACGATTGATGAGCATGTTAGGGCACTCTCTGCGGCGGAATCTGATGGCAACCTGGTCTTTGTGCGGTCGGAGGGCCACGCCAGCGTGGCCCTGCTGATTTTGCGTCTGTGGCAGCATTGGCGCCGCTGCTACGAGACCTTTGGATCGGCCACGCGCAAACATCACAAGGCTCCTTGGCTTCTTGGCCGCTGTTTGCCCGCAAGGTGGGCTGACGCAAATGTCAAGTCAGTTGTCAAGGAAAAGCGCTCACAAGGCGAATTGAAGTGACAGCTTTCAGAAATATCCAGAAAGTTCTCCAAAGTCTGCTGAACCAGCGCTGGCTTCCTAAGCAGTTGCACCGCAAAGGCTCCGAGCTCCGACACCCCAAGGGTCAGATGTCAATGTGTATCTGAAGCAAAGAACTTGTCAATTCGTGTGGAGGCGAAGCCTCGGCGTGGTATCGTCCCACGCATTTGTTTCTTGGGGCATTGGCAGCAGAGCTGCGAAGAAGTAGTTGGTGGCCGCTTTTGGATTGCTGCTGAGCCAAACACGTCGAAATAGCCTGAGCTTTTCACGCTTGGCAATTGGCAATTGGCGCAGCCATGACCCACTACTTGCGCCACATGTGATTGAATCCACCTCCTGAAATGTCGGAAGGACCAGCAGTAACACCTGTCGTGTTGTGGAACGACTCTCTTTGCGAAGGCTGCCAAACAAGAGCTTATAAACATCCTGAACTGTGGCCAAGCGGAACCAAATGCTTATGCCAGCAGTCTGGCCATTGTGACGTTCCGTGCCCGATAACCAACCAACCCGACAAGGCACAAGTATCAAAAACACGCTCGGCTAAAGATGACATATGATGCAGTACACTGTACAAACGTGGTTGTGTGTGTGTGTGGGTCTTGAACAGGCGATTGAAAAACAACATACAGCCTGGTATGCACAGACACCAAACACCATCGTGTGTCTATGGTTCAAACTCTTTGGGCCTTTGTCATGTCACAGAAAAAACCTGCAAGAGGCAGGGCCGCTCTTATTTGTGGGTTGGCGTGCAAATGAGTGGGATCCTTTGAACCTGCTATCCCCACGGGGAAAGCCCAATCATGACTCCCCTCGGCTTGAACAGCATTCCGTAGCTTCAAGCCCTACGTTTTGAACACCTTGCTTCAGTTTTTCGAAACCCGCCTTGGCTTCTCTTACTCCCCTTGGGCACGTCAACGCGCACGTCAACGAATTGGACTCGCGCTAGGCTGAGCCAGGCGCCTTTGCAGGGCCCGCATCGGCACCTACGAACGAATAACTGTGGCTTCCCTAGCGAAATACGAGCCACTTGCTTTTTCTAGGTCCTCCAGTAGAAAGGTTCGAACAAGGGTACCAACTTTTTCTGCAGTCTATTTTAGGAGGGGAAGCCTCCCCCCAAAAAAGGGCAAAAGAGCACTACTGGGTGACCTAGTTTTGGCTTTTCGTTCTTTGTCAACATCACTCTAACCGCAAATGCGGTCGTAGAGCCCCAATGAGCCTGAGGAAACGCACAAGACATTGCTGAGTGAGAGCCACCCCCCCGCGAACCAGCTCAAACCAAGCGAACTCGAAGGAACACACACCATGGGAGAGCAAGATTCCAGGTCAGGCCCGCGCTGACAAATCATTGCACATTGTCCTAGCATACTGCCTGCCAATTTGAAAACGCGACAGCCCTCGAAACTGGCGCGACTGCTTTTTGCGGCACCGGAGGGGGGGGGACTTCCGAACATTCATTGCCAAGACATGCGAGATTCAAACCGACTGAAGTACTTCTGGACACCATGCCGGCAGGCATGTCGGGATGGCTCTTGCTTTCGGCCAGCCTAAGTTGGCGCTTACCAAACGCGAACTGTGGTGTCTGGAGCTTGCTTTTCCATAACTGCATTACACTCGGCAAAGAAAGCAATCTCGAAGAGCGCCAAGTTCTTTGCTTCAGAAAGCACCTATTATTGTCGCGACTACATCGTGGACGCTCAAAGGAACAATCAAGGACCTTATGCGTCCCTACGACTTATGCGGCCCTGCGAATTCAAAAAGGGGTCCCCCAAAAGGCCGGGGCCCCTCTATGAAGGAGGATTCTTTAGCGTCCATGTACATTTGCAGAGCAATCCCACAGCATCTGGACCCAGAGGCCCGAGCCAAAGCAAGACTGACACTTGGCTTGCCCAGGCCTTCAAACAAGAGGCTGGGGCCTTCCAAGGGAAGGCTACATCTTCAAAGAGCCAAAACAGCTCAGCGGGAGAAGTGGCGTTCACCAGCTGTTCAGCTAGCTTCAGGCCGATGCCAATGGGTCAGCTTGCTTCTGAAAAAGAGAAGCATGGTCATGTCTTTTGAAACCACCACACAGAAGGCACGCAACAAGCACAGGGGATGGTGAAGACGCACGAGGCTTGAGGTGCAACCACTCCCGTTAGATGGAACTTTCTCGCGGAGCTTGCGGGATTCGCAAACTGGCGCCCCTCTGGGGGCCTCTTTCCCTTCAAAGGTGGCGAAAAAAAGTGAAACCAAGCTTCCCGATGTGCACAGTCTTTTATTTCCCTGCCGCAAAACGCCGGTGCTTGCGCTACCATTTGGCCTTGGTGGAACGTCTTCTGGGCGCATGACCATAGTCACACTTTCATCAGTACATCACGACCAACACACACACACAAGCACACAAGTGCACTATGCTGACATGCTGATATGCGTCACAATGTAAGCACACATGGCACCACTGCGCCTCTGTTCGCTGCTTCTTCGCCTCCGATGTCCAGCCACAGGCATGCGGCATGCCCCCAACCACACCCATGCCAGCCGTGATTCTACTCACCCTCGCACCTACGCACCCACACCGTCACGCACCAATACCGACCAAGCGACCGACCCAACCAAACCAACTAACCCACAGTGTCACATGGAGAAAAATGCGGAACCTAACCCGGATCTGCATGAAGCCAACAAGCCAAGAGCCAACACCCGAAGCAAAAAAGGGAAGCCTGGAACATGTCAAACGCAGGTAGGGCAAAAACGTGGAGCGAGTCCACTACCCTCATATTAACCCGTACATGGGAGCTTCTCTAAATGGCGAACCCTCGTCTGGTTGGCAACCATTTTAGTGGCCCCCTATTTTGAAAAACACCCATATCATATACATATTGGGGGCTGGAAGCTTTTGTCATTACAGTCCGAAGTTCGAAAGCGCTATGCAAACTGCGCGACAAGGCACATTGGCCAACATTCACATGACATGGATTCCTAAAATCTAACAGGGATCCTTACATTATACACCTGAACATTGCAACTGGTAAATGGTGGTTTCCTTTGATTTTGGTGTTGAAAAAAGCAACATGTTTCAACTGGTTGCAAAATGGAGATCTTTTAAGGAGCTCTGTCTAATATGGCCGGGATTTGGGGGGGGGGGGGGGGTTGTTTCTTTTTGGTGGGTGCCACTTTTCCGGACCTGGCTGCTGATCCCTGGCCTGCTGATCCCAGGACTGCTCCTAAGCGGAACCGCGGAACGAGACCTGAACATCGTGAACGTGGATCTGCAAACTTTACTATAAGTTCAAAAGCTGAATTGAGGGGATCCCCAAGCAAAGGACCCTTATCATGGTGAGCTCGCAATAAAATAGGCAAATTTGGATTCCTTGTGAGGTCTCTTAGGGAATTCGAGCAATTTCATCCATTATCTTCCTGGTTTTGAGTGAAAATGTTGGGGCTAATTCCTTTCAGGGCTCAGAGTCAATCGATTGGACTCACCCAGAACTTGAACCGGAACTTGCGAGGACCTCAAACAGTGGTGGTCCATGGGGCCAGCCGCAAGGTCAACCAGAAGTCGGGGTAATGTGGGCAATGAGCAAAGTGGGCTTGGCAAACGCAGCAAACACATAGGTGTCCTTTTGAGGGGAAATAGATGGGTTTCCCTGGTAGATGATTAAACCACGAGGAACACCAGGAACCGCCAACTATTTTTCTACCAAAACAACCAAAAAGGACACCTGTCACCAAACCATTTTGCCACTGAATCCATTTGGGTCAAAGCACATGGCTGGCGAGGAGGCCATTCTGGAGACCACTCTCTGGGCCGGGGTTAAATAGCTTGCAACTGCTTCAACTAGCCCTATGGCAACCGCGTATGGCCCAGATTTGGGCCAAGCAGTTTCACAGTTTGGGAGGCTGCGGATCCACCATCTCAGGTGCTAAAGTGTACGCACTGATCCAAAAGAGTGAAATTGGGGTAAATGAGTTTGGGCATCCGAACAATCTTCCGCACACCCAATCGCATGTCAGTCCATCCATTCGACTGCATCCTGCGAACGACACTTCCCCTCATGCCAGGGTTTGATTCAAGCTTTGCAAGCAAAACCACCGCAGGATCTCTCTAAGGGCCCAGCTTTCTTCCAGCCTGACAGGCGAACAGCCCATGCGACATGCGAACGAGATGTGTCGATTCTGGCCGGTGCCTCAAAGAGGGCTAGTTTTCAAGACAACCCCAGCGGGGTCAAACACCCATTTTGAGGTGTCTCTCTTTTGGAGGGTACTTTTTGGGGCTAATTGAAAGGGGGGGTGGCCCTTTGAGACGCACTCCTCAGGGTTCCCCCAGTCTTGGGCGCTTCAGTCCCTGCAGTCAGAGACATTGTGAACAGTTCCACAGCGCCAGCGCCAAATCGCAACGGTTCAGTACAAGTGTATGAAACGACTGCAGCTCCAGCTGCAAATGGGCAAGCTTAGCTCTGTAAAATGTTATCCTTGCTATCCGCCCCATCGATTTACAGGGTTTTGGGACACCTCACCAGCAAAATTCCACCCTCTCTCAACTGCTATTGCGGGGGTTTATTCCACAACCGGACATGTGTTTGCAGCACAACAACACAACCACTCATTGATTGCCCTTGCGTGCAAGGCTCGCAGGCTCATCCTTTTCTGTTGCCAAAGCCGCTCTGGTTTCGCGTCGGTACACGGCTGACATCATTTTCTATCATGACGACCCCAGGCAAGCAGAACTGCAGTTTTTATGCAGCTATCCCTTGAGGCCTTTACACTGTTTGCATTTGCGCTTGACACGCCCATGTTGGCAAGGGTGGCATTGCGGGCAGTCTGCCTTCACCTTGCCGTGTGGGCATGGAGAGCACAGTCGGCATTGGAACTTCAATTTGCCGTGTTTGCACCCATGGCACTGCGCGCACCTTCGCTCAAGCATGCCGTGCAAGCACCCCTTGCACTGCTTGCAGTTTTTTTTTGCCTTGCCATGAGGGCACCCGCTGCACTGCTTGCAGTTCTCTTTGGCCATGCCGTGCGGACACTCTGGGTGTTTGCGCTTCCTCTCGTTGCCATCCACACACAAGCTTGTAGAACAAGCAGATGGGCCTTGTAATGCCTCAGCTGTGGCAGCACACTTTGCCTGTACTCGAAGCCACTGCTTTTGGCTGGCAACTGAGCTCTGACTGACGAGAAGCTCCTGGAATGTCTGCACATGTGCCTGCAGGCGCTGCAGCGCAGGTGCCACGGCTGAATCTGTCAAATCCAAGCTGTCCAGGCACGCAAGCACCAGTGACCGCAGCCTAGCCTGCAAATCTTTGGATGCTGGCAGCCCGCTCTGCGACGAGCTGTAAGCAAGCATGCTATTTCTATCGCCTTTGCACCGCGGAGGAGACAAGGCAGCCACGGCGCGGCGGAGAATCCTCCGAAGTGTTGCAGGGTCTTGCGACTCTGCAAGTTCCTCCTCCAAGCCGTTGACGTACGTCTCTCTGCTGTCAGTGTCGCTGTTCTGCCATCTTTGGATAGCCCTCTGCATTAAGCGCGCTGCCTTGGCTTCAGCATCCTCACATTCCTCACGGTTCTCCTCACCAAGTGAACAATCTGCGGGGACAAGCTCTTGCGGTGGCATATGCTTGCTGATCTGCTTCTGAAGCTGCAATCCCACTGGATCATCACCAAGAACACAAAGGATGGTTTGAGACACTCGTGCCAAAATCCGAGCCAATCTGGCGCCAACTGGTCTGTCACTAGGACCATCCACAGACTCCAAGTATCGTACAAACAAGGTGACCACGGAAAGCCCATTGTGATCTTGTGATATCTTATCCCTGGGCAGCGCAACAAGCCAAGACGCCACATGAAAGGCATGTTTCTCAAGTTGCGGCCTGCTCATCTGCGTTCTCTGCAGCTCATAGCGATGCAAAACAGCTGCCGCGCGCTTTTCTCGAAAGCGTGTGGCGTGGTACCGAGCTCTCTCATCAAATGACGCGTCAACCATGCCAAGGGTTTCAGCCATGGCAGGAAAGTTCGGCAGGAGATGCGTGGAAGCACAAGCTCAATGAAACAGCTGCAGCATACAGTTTACTGCTCAACACACACACACACACACTCTCAAACCCCTGAATCCATGTCAACCCCACAACCCCTCTTTTCGTAAAGCCTCCTTTGGAATACTTTGCCAGTGGAGAACAATTAGGTCACAGGACCCATTGCGTCAAAAGGGTAACATTTGCCTTAGCTTCCTCCCTATGTTTTGCGTGTGGCTGGTTTGAGCGAACCTCTTGGAACGGCTTTGGCCTTCCTTTTGTTTTGAGCGATGCAATTCATTTGCACATCCAGTTCAAACTAGATCCCCTGCCAACAAAACCAGTTCTACTTAAATCCTGCTGCCAACAAAACCAGTTCTAACTAAAATCCCCTCGCCAACCAAAAAACCGCGAATCATTCGAAGCTGGGTGGAGCCTCCTCCGCCTTTCCACTCGTCAGACTTCCAGGACTTCTGTTTCCAGTCGTCCTCCTTTTTCCAGTCCTTCGACTTCCACTGGTCACCTGGCCAGAAACGGGTTCTGACTGCGAGTCTGTGGGAAACCCTTTAAAAGACAAGCACGGGTTGACCTCCGGTATTTGGTTCCGAAGGAACTAACGTTTTGAAAGGGGTTGACCTCATTCCCTCGGGTATTTGGAGCTTGGGAGTCAGACAAAAGAGCCAAAGCGCTGAAACTGCGAACACTTTTTTTCCGACTGGATTCAAAGATGTGGGCCTGGACTACCAAACAAATCAGACCCCTACAAATGGCTGACGTCATTAACTTTTGAGCTTGCCTTGGAACACTCTGCAAGTGGGTCCCCAACTTCATCACACCCTCCCCCTTATTCCCCCTTTTGCTAGCTCTCTGCCACTCATGACTCATTGAATCCTCTGGGTGTTGGTTGACAACCAAACAAAACCAGCCCCCACTTTGTGTGGTTCCGAACCCTCGTCTCCACTGGTCTTTGGACAAGTGCCTCCGCCGTCTCCGCCGTCTGGGTAGCCGTCTAGGAGGGCCCTAAGCGAGGCGTGGGGTATGTCAACCCCAAGATGAGGCGAGGAAACGAGGAACATAGGCGTCTCTTTTTTAAGGTTGGACAACCCAACGTTTCCATACCAAAAACACGAGGAAAAAAAGGCGCCCTCAAAAAGAAAGACACCCACATGAGAACACGTGCCTGACTGGGCGTGTATTCTCGTGTTCCAGAAATTACCAGGTCCACCTCCCGCAGTCAAGGGGAGTTAAGGGCCCGGCCTGGCAGCTTTCCGCAGCCATGTCCTGAGACGGGGGCTTTGAGTCGCTTTGCCTCACCTGTGCCTCTGCTTGGTGGCGTCAAGAGAAAAACTCTGCAGGTCACCGACCTGCACGGTTTAGCCTTGGTGTTCGCTGCTTGCTCTCTGCAGGTCCGCCAAAAACCTGCAGGATCCTGCACGGCTTTGCCTTGTTTGTGGCTTGCCTGGGCCACTGACCTGTCTGGGGTTTGCTTGGGCATCGCCAGCATCATCTTCATTGATGCTTGCGTCCACTTTCCAGCGTCTGCGCTGGAAACCTTGCAAAGCACCTTTTTGGACTTTGTCTGGGTTGGTGCCCAGGCGTTGCTTTTGCTTTGCAGCCCCCTCACCGCCCAAAAGGTCTCTTCCAGCTTGGCCAGATTTGTTTTGGGTTTGGTTGGGGCTCCTTTCCGCCTCTTGCCCATTGGACCAAGAAATTTACCGGTTGCATGAGCGGTCAACGCAGCCTCAAGCCATTGGCCGACATTTCCGTAGCTACCAACGATGCCCGCCCAAGTGCGCAAACCTACTTAAGCGCACCCGCTCAGCACTGCGCATGAAAAGAATGCCCGCTCATAGCATCCCACAGCACACCCCTGCCAAACCATAAGAACACTCACCCGACTGTGCACCCGCTCATCTTCGGACACACGGCGCCAAGCCCGCACGCATGTGGCAAACACTCAGCGCTAAGCGCATCGACGCGGAGTCTGGCTTTGAAAGCGTTCTGCGGGCAGGCACAGCAAGCAAAATAGCATGTGACCCGGTCCGCTGCTTAGAGCACCACTTCGAGTGGTGCATTGGTGCTAAAACCTTGCTTTTAGAACTAGGCGCGTTCGCCATTCCCTGCGACGACCAGTGAAAAACATGAGTTCTTGCGATTTGAACACATTTGAAGGAAAAGGACTCGGCCGCACACGCTTTCCAAGTAGAGCGGCGCTTTGTTCTGGATATGACCCCAACACACACTTTTGGACATGAACCTTTGCAAAACGGATGTTCCGCTGAGGCCCCATGCTTACAGAGGCTGTTTGCAACAGCCAGCGCTGTGAACAAGCTCTGGTGTCAGTGTTTTTTGCAGTCTCACACGCCTACCATGTCTTTCAAACATCCTCGAAACGCTTTGCGTTTCGCCTCACAGCGGAGCCGCTGACCGATTGGCAGCTGCGCCGCCCCAAACCTGTTGGGTTCCATTGCAACAGGCAACGTCGCTGGAAGCTATGGGGTCGATAGGCCAGGAACAGGCTCCGAAGTGGTTCGGGGGGGTGGAATCCCCGAATCTGTGATACAACAAAAGGGCTTCCCAGTAAAGGTGGAGATTCCCTTGTATCACAGAAGTAGGGAAAAACCCCTTGATCCCACAACCCTGTTTTTGAGATTTTGAATGCCAAGCATCTGTGGGGAGTCGATCTCTTCTGCATTCGTCACCAAATCCTTGAGGACCTCGCGTGCCACGTCCATCAGTTTGGCCGGGACTTCAGACCGTTGGGCCCGGTAAGATTGAAATAGGCCCCTCGGATTGCAAACCCCTCATAGGGTTGATTCATAGGGTGTCCCCTTTGGGTGGGGATTCATCACTGGACACCCCGCAATTCACAGGCGGGTTCACTGGTCTGCGGTCAACATGTTGAAAGTCCAAACCGCAGGAACACGTTTTTCCTTGAGTAGTATTCACCAAACAAAAAAGAAAAAAAAAACACGAGCAAACCAAACAAGGATAAAACGAAGGATGCTGCCCACGAAACCTGACTTGCAACTTCTGCCCGGCTCGGCTCGGACTCTGAGCCAGTAAAGGATTTAAGCCCAGCCTTTGCAGGTCGCATCTAGGGTTTGCCCGCATCTACGAGCCCGTTTCTGAGTGACTCCATATCTGGGCTGCCCTCAGATCCCTCGCTAAAAGTTCAACTTTTAGTGGGTTAAATGGAAGCTACCACTAAACACTAAAAGCTAAAAGGCTAAGGGGATGGCTGGGAGCCACAAAGTTATGATAACACGAGATTCAACGGGAGAAAATGAAATTATTTTCTATTGCTGTGTTTGAAGTTGTTGCAGGGAAACCCCAAAACAGCAGAGTTTCGGCGTTCCATAGCCCAGGCGAAGCCTATTTTGCTTTTTAAAAAGGGCGCTGTCATTTTTATCTAGATCAGAACCTAAAACAGTCGATGGCTGGCTAAATGCCATTTGGTTCTCCTGGAGCGCTTCGTTTGCACTGGCGCTCTTTTTCCCACGTGTCACGTTTTCCTAAGCTCTCCTGCGGCCAAAATGGTGATTGAAACTACCATAAAGAAATCCGTGAAAATTCCGGGACACCTTCTTGTGAAATGGCCTGTGAAATGGCAGCTAGCTGTTTATGTACTCACTGTAAGACTGACAAGGCAGCTCAAATGTTACAGTTCGCCCAAGAGCTATGTTGGGGAATTCATGAAGAATTTTATCCACACTAGGCAAGCGCATTCTCATGCGATCTCTTGGAAATCAGCTAGCAGCCAGCGCTTGCGAATGGGCACCTTTTGAGGGCAGCCCTTGTTCTTTTGGTTTTTCTGGGACGACAAAGGGTTGAACACCACAAAAACAACTGGTCCCCGATTTCTCATTCCAATCGACTTGGCGGCCGCATGTAAGTCAGGTGGTTTGGGGATTTTGTGTTTTGGGGGTAGCCCTTTTTTGGGTGGTTTCCCAAAAAAGAACCAGGGATTGAACCCCCAAAACCACCTTGTGCTGCTTTGACCCCCTGGAAACCACCCCTAACCAATCAGTGGGAAGCTGAGTAAGGTTATAGCTGTGGTAATTGGGATAGTCTTGACCTCGGAAAAAAAGGGGGAAAAAAAAACGGACCCCCCCCCCACCAAAAAAAACAAATCCTCAACTCAATGTGGGAAGGATCGGGCAATATTCCTTTAGTATTGAACTATACTACTATTGAATTGGGAATAAGCAGTTCAGAATTGCAAAGTTCAAAAGGAGCTTTTACGTGTCCATTTGATTGAGCATTGCTGAAGCTTCCTGTTGAGATGTTGATTTGAGAATTCGATTTGAGTTGCTATTCATTCTATCTGGGATTTGAGTTTCTATTTGAGTTTGTACGTGGATGAGACTTTCGGCTGGGCCCCAAATGGCCCAGACTAATTTAGGGGGGGACCGAGGTTGTCTTGGGGGGTGGGGGCACGCATGTGGGGAACTTCCGGACTTCCCCATGTTTGTGTGTTTTGGAAAGCTTGTCAGGCGCTGCGAAAAGATACACAGCACACTGGATATGGAGGCAATCCCCCAAAAATTGGCCCTGCCGGGTTCAAGACGATGACATTGAACTGATTGCAGTGACTATAGGAGTGCAAGTCCCATAGGGCAAGATGTTCATTAGGCGCCGGACTACTTCAAAATTCCCACGAACCATGGCGAGTCCCTGAGTCCCAGTGATTCCATTTACCTGAGGTGACTAATGGGACCACCTGGAGGCAGAAGCGGAACAACTCTCTGGTGACCTACGGCAACTGGGATCCACTGCTCCCAGTTAAAGCGTCCAATCCCGTGGCCTGCAGCGCGTCTTCGTGCTTCAAGGGCTGAAGAATGTCCAATACCTCGCAGTGTGCTGCGCCAAAGTTTTCTCCGTGGAGATGGATTCCTTTGGAAGCCAAAAGAGAAGCTTTGGAGATATGTGCTTTGCTTTGATATACCCATTAGCGCCTGCTCCAGATACCTGTTCTTGGATGTTGATGTCAAGCCCCGACAAAGAAGGATGTGTATTTACTTTGGAACAGCTGTTGATTTCCAGAAGATACAAACCCTTTGACAACAAACTTCACTGCGTATTTTTGGTAGGGCGCAGCAACCGAATAATATTTGGGCTGGGGGGCAGTTTCTTTTTAGCGTGTCTAAGCCCGCGGCATTTCCCATATGCAGCGGGTACTGCAGCGAAACGTTGGAGTTGACCCAACGAATCCGCCTAAGGGCTGAGGCGGATTCAGTGCGCGCAGGGCCTGCAGAATCCCCGAATCCACTGGTTTTTTCCGGCCCTGTTTCTGCCGGTCCCGGAGAAAAAAAGAAAAAGAAAACAAAACGATTCGTCCAAGGTAGAATAGCCCGGCTCGGCATTCCAAGGTAAACACAGCCTTTGGTCGGAGGTTGAGATCAACTTTCAAACATCATCAGGAAGGCAGGTGCTTGGAGCAAAAATCCGACGTTCGCTCCCTCGCCTCATGAGGACGCCGAATTGCTGGGCGGCCTTTTCACTGGCAGCGCCGCGCCCACTCTCGAAAATCTTCCTGGCACGGGCGAACCAATTATCCGCAAATGGGCGGGCGCCAGGAGCGTCTCACACATGAAGAAACGCGCAGCCGCGGGCTGCTGAAGCTTCGCTCAGGGAGAAGACCCAGGATGAAGAAGATTGAGTGCTCAGACGTGTTTTGGCTTTGGCAACCTTTGACCCACACATGCTGATTTCCAGCTGCCATGCGCCCATGTAACTATTTGCACTTAATTAGTTGGAGGCGTGTAGACATTTACCCTTTGTGTTTTTTCCCTTTCGGGGGATTTTTGGGTGGGGGGTGTGGCTGACACACCGGTTTTTGGTTACTCATTTGCGCGCGCAAGCACACATTGGCCGTGCACGTGGGTGAACATGCTGGACAGGTCGGGGCCTCTGACGCGCGCACGCACAACATGCGCGCGCAGCTATCCCATGCTCGACGCAGATGGGTTCTTGCTTCCGGTAGTGCACTCATCCCTGCTTCATATGCACCTTGAGGGTGCGCTATGCGCCTGTGCCTGATGGCTTAGCTTTCCTGCAGCACAGGGATGTTAGCATTTATACAGGCTGGATGCTTGTTTGGCTGCCGGGGCGGAACTAGATCTGGAAGATGCAACGCAGATTCGTGCCCGAAATGACACTATCCGATATTCATTCCCAGCTTCTCGTAAACTCTTGCTTCAGTTTGCAAAGCTCGGGAGCAGCAGTAAGTTGGGATGCAGGGTAGCAACAAGAAGCGGACTGGGCCCAATGCATGGGCAACAAAACTGGTGCTGGGTGCTCGCAGGAACACAGCGTTCGGTGGTGGCAGCCCCTTAGATGCCTTTGTTCCCCGAAGTGTCCAGACTAAGGGGACAGAGCCTTGAATGAAAGGCTACTGGAATGTATCCACGATGCCTTTGTTTGGAGATGTAACTAAGGCTGAGCCTGCTGACATGCACAGTGAGTTAGCCAAGATTTCTAGATGGAATCTGCAAACTACTTCTTTTCGAGCAGCCGACTCACGCCCAGATCCGCAGAGATAGGCAAACCCTGCGTTTTTGCACTGCGGTCACTGAAATTTCCCGAGGGTAAGCATATACACGTAACCATGTGGTTGGATCTTGTGGATCTTGGGGCTAAGGATGATGTATCCTTGCAAGGGCTCGCTGGGCCTTCGATGAATCGGAGTGCCCTGCTTGAAGGGAGTCTCCACCCAACAGAAGGCGTAGCTTTGGCAATAGCTATGACTGCTGTTCATTCGGGGTCAATGCTGCCTTGGTAGGATTTTGGGTTTGAGTGCGTGTTTTGGCCGTTGCGTCAGCCAGCAGCATGTTTGAGGCCCCGCACGCAACTGGATTGACTTGTTGGTGCCTGCGTGGTTGCAGTATAGTTTAGCCAAGCAAATTTCAGCCGCATACACATATACATGATATCTAGCCGTGTGTGTGTGTGTGTGTGTGTGTGTGTGTGTGTGTGTGTGTGTGCGTGTGTGTGTGTGTGTGTGTGTGTGTGTGTGTGTGTGTGTGTGTGTGTGTGTGTGTGTGTGTGTGTGTGTGTGTGTGTGTGTGTGTGTGTGTGTGTGTGTGTGTGTGTGTGTGTGTGTGTGTGTGTGTGTGTGTGTGTGTGTGTGTGTGTGTGTGTGTGTGTGTGTGTGTGTGTGTGTGTGTGTGTGTGTGTGTGTGTGTGTGTGTGTGTGTGTGTGTGTGTGTGTGTGTGTGTGTGTGTGTGTATGTGTGTATGTGTGATGTGTGATGTGTGATGTGTGATGTGTGATGTGTGATGTGTGATGTGTGATGTGTGATGTGTGATGTGTGTATGTGTGATGTGTGATGTGTGATGTGTGTATGTGTGATGTGTGATGTGTGATGTGTGATGTGTGATGTGTGATGTGTGATGTGTGATGTGTGATGTGTGATGTGTGATGTGTGATGTGTGATGTGTGATGTGTGTGTGTGTGTGTGTGCGCGTGTGTGTGCGTGTGATATGTGTGTGTGTAGGTGTGTGTGTGTGTGATGTGTGTAAGTGTGTGTGTAGAGGTGTGTGTGTGTGTAGAGGTGTGTGTGCGTATGTGCAGAGGTGTGGCTGTGTGCGTGTTTTGCGAGTACTTTGTTTACGCGGCTTAAGGCCAGAAACCAAAAACATCAAACAGTTTTGGGTTTTGACACACCACACCCATATGAATTTATAAAACTCAACACACCCGTCTATCTTCCAGAATCTGTTGGGAAAGCCGGGCGTGGCCAAATGGGGCAAACCGAGATCCCAGGCTTCCAGGCGAACTTAAAAGGCCTGATGTTCATAGCCCTCTCCCCGGGTAGAGAAACCTCTTAGGAAGCAAAGGAAGCAAGGGGAGGCAAAGGAAGCGGTATGAACAAGGGGTACTTCCCTTAGAAAGCTGTGCGTGAGCTCTGCAAAGGAACCCGCCTTGCTGCGTCCGCAATCAGGTTTGTGGGCTTGTCGACCATGTCGGCGTTGCTGTCTATGTCCTCACGGGCGGCATGCGGCTATGTACAAGCGCGGCATGTGCACGTGTGCAACAGATGATCCATTGGAGGGTCGAGCTACGTGTCAAGAATTGCTTGAAGATAAGAAACATACCGGCCCTTGAAAGATCTTCCTGGTATTATTGAAACACTTGGTCGTGAGCATGAATTGCTGGTCTTTGCTTGTAGCCCTGCTGTACCTGTGTTGGCTAGAAGCCGCCGGGACACGTTCCCAAAATGCCTTCCTTTGCAAACACCAGCCCTTTCAGGATATAGTTTGACAACACCATTCTTTTTCCATGGACAATGCAACTCCAATAGCCAGTGAGGCAGTCAGACCTTGGCTTTCCCCTGAAGCCTTGCGAGACCAGTCCTTGAGCAACTGCATGGCGATGGGCTCTGTGAGTTTGGCCAACGGCCCACCGACCTTACCTCGGTGGCGAAATCTGCGAAGCCCTGCGAAAAGTGAATAACTTCTGGTGGTTCAATACGGAAAACCAAGCAAAACGTTGGCAAAAAAGTTAGTTAAAGTTAAACGTGGTTTCACTTTTGGTGGTTTAACTTTTGTTAGTTGGCACAAAATTAAAGTCCTAACATCCCTTGGCAAAATGCTGCAAAGTTGCTGAGGTCCACATCGGTACAGAGCTTTCCAGTTTTGTTCAGCTTCAGCACCCGCTGCTTCACCGACTCCAGCAGCTGGCTCACATCTTCGTGCTCGATCTCTTCATATCCGCCCTCTTCCGCCGGCTCTTCCGCCGGCTCTTCGGCTTCCACCTCCTCCATGGGATTCTGCAGCCCCTGACGATTTCAGTCAGGCCATGGCTTTCACCCCGGCCCACTCACCGAAAAGGTTCCCGGAGTGAGGAGCCTGCTACCTACACAACTGGGCGGCTGGTGCCATTTCTTGTGTAAAAGACTTCCAACCCGGGCCTGAAGTTCTTTCAAGTCGTTTTTGTGCAAAATCGTGCGACCCCGAACGCAAGTCAGGCGGATTCACTCAGCGCTGTCCCTCCGACCGTTCTTTCCGTGCCCTTTCCTTCGTGGAGAGGTGTAAACCCAACATTGGAAGGGACACACAAAGAACAAACAACAACTGCCCCAACTTCACATCGAAACTGTCAAAAAAACCTCAGCGGCCTCAATGGCGTTGAGCAGGAACTTGTTGGGATCATCCCCCGTGTCGGCATCTTGGACAACCTCAAGCGGGCCGAGCGGCACGCTTGAAGAGACAGAAGGTTCGGCCCTGGCCGTTGTTACCGGACATCAATTTGGATGCGCAGCCCAAGGCTTCGCTGGAGATGGGTTGATATGTCCCTTTTTTCCTGTTGTTTTTGTTTTTTGGAGGATACTTGGATTCTATGTTAAAGTTTCCCTCTGGAGGATTCGACTTGGATTCTACGTTGATTTGCCTATTGCACACACACACAAACACAGACACACACACACACACACAAACAAACTCAACACACATCAACACAAACACAAACACAAACACAAACACAAACACAAAAACAAACACAAACACAAACACAAACACAAACACAGACACAGACACAGACACAGACACAGACACAGACACACACACACACACAGGCTCAGGCCCGTGGTGTTTGCTTCCGGTGAATTTATCCCTAGCTTGCGTGGCTTCTCTTGATTTCAGTGGTCATTACTCAAAGACTCTTGCTCCAGTTTGCAAAGATCTTGGGGCAGTAGCAAGTTCGGGACATCAGTGATGGGGCCAAAGCGTGGCCCAAAGTGGTCAAAGATTTGGAAACCAAGACAATTACTTCTACAACCGCGACGAGTTTTGTAGGGAGGCAGAAAAACTGCTGTCCCGTGATCGCAGGAACACAGTGCATTGATAGGTGGTGCCAGTCGTTAGATGCGTGTTCCCCGAAGCATCGAAGCTACCGCGGGCAGTGCCTTCATAAAAAGGTAACTTGAATCCATTCATGCCTTTGTTCGGAGACAAAGCCATGAGTCAGCTGACACGCACAGTAAACACTATGAAAGATCTCCTGACGGAGCTTCCAACAAAACAAATTGGCAAGAAAGCAACTCAAGCTGCCCGGGGCTCAGCATTTCTCCGCAGCCCTAAATGTTACAAGGGGTCGGTTTCCAAGTTGCGAGCAAAGATCAATACTTTTGTCTGTGTCTCACAAAGGAACCCAGGCGCAAAAGGCTTCACATGGATGCGCTATGATGCGCTCTTGTCATTTACGCAGCCGGGAAAAGGGTATGTGCGTATAAAACGCGGCGTGTAACGAGTGTCCAATGTCGCTTTGTTATATGGCCTCAAGCAAAGTCGCTGCAATGTAATTATCATACGGGTTCTGTGAGGTAAACCTCGTTGACCGTTTCCCTAAGTGTTAAAACCGCCTTCACAGCGCCCAACTGTGAAGGTTGAGCTTGCTCGGTTTAGTCTAAGCTATAGAAACGGCCAACTCTCAGCTGGGCCCTAGTCAAATGACCCAAACAGAATACCAAGCTTGGTTGACGTTGGAAGGAGAGCAAAAATGTAAATGTTAGCAGTTAAGTTGTGATTTCCCACTAAAACACAATAAGCAAAAATGTGGAAAACAATACTAATATATATATATATACATGTATTATATTAAACACATGTTTCCCAACAACAACCATGCAAGGGGCCAAGCATGGCATGCCAAATGCCCAAGCTCTCAGCCTCTTGCGCTTTGGCACACATCTTCTGGCAGTTTGATCCGTCTGTTCTCCCATCCCCTTTCCCGCCACGCACCTGCCACGGACCCGGATGACTGAAAGTTCAGCAGCTGAACCACATCTGACTAACCCAAGGGAAACAGTTGATGGTTGGCTCAAACTAAAGAGGCTCCACTTGGTTCAATTCGTATTCTGGGTCCTTCCCTCTTGAGGTGTCTTTGGGACAGCGGAGGGAGCTGCAAAAAAGAAAAACACCTCTTACCACTTACAACAAGTCAGTCACTTCTAAAGGACATGAGTTATAGATCCGACCCTGGCGGTGCAACCTGAATATAAGACACCCAGTAAGGACCCAAACCATGACTTAAAGTCTCGGGGGTTCCAAGCTCAGAAATCCGTCCACTCGCCCGGTCGAGCGGTCGAGCGCTCAAGCGCTCGCGGTCGAGCGGTCGGCCTGCAGCACCTCCAGGGCCGAGTCCACCTCCAACTCCGAGAGCTTCTTGGCCACCGCCGGCAGGCGCAGCCCGGGCAGACCCGCCTGGCGCATCTCACGGACGGCTGTCGACTCGCTGTCGACTCGCTGACGCATCGGACGGATGGCAAGCAGCGCAGGCCGCAGAAGGCCGCGGTTTGTGTTGTTGCAGAGGTATCACCCCCGCAAGTCAGGTTTTCTTTTTTTGGTTTGTTGGACCCCCCGGAAGTCGTGGCTTTCTTAGCGTTGCCCTGCGGAGCTGGTGTTTGTTGAGCAGAGCGCTTCTGAAAGGGGGAGCAGTATCCCCTCATGTCCCGCGGACTGGAGCAGCGTGCCTCTGAAAGCTTTGATCTCGAGCCCTTTGAACACTTTTACGCGGGAGGCTCCGGTGAAAACCAGACATGACCCAGGGCTGTGGGAAATGGAATCCACTTCTGTGATACAAAAAGGGCCTCCCGAAGGCTAACCCCCCATTTGAAGAGGGGATTCCCAAAAGTATCACAGAAGCGGTTGGAAAAACCCCGAGTGATCCCACACACCTGACCCATGGAGACTCCAGTCAGCGCGCGCCTTCTGCAGCTCGCGCACCTTATCCGTGACCCGGCGGTTCAGCTTCACCGTCGACATGGGCGCTCGAGCTCGGCTTCGCGAACGCGAAGCGATTCGCTTCTCCCTAAAAAGGCGAGAAGAAAGACGCGAAAAGGGGAAAATGAAAAAAACACTGAAGGCGATCAAAGCAAACCAGCAACCAAAGAAAACAAGAACAAATGTGGAAAGTGATGACCAGCTGTCAGTCACCAAGTCACGCTAGGCTTGCTGTCATCATGTGCTTGATTGACTCTTCGATTCTGACACACGCAAACATGCACAAGGTTGAGCTCCCAAATCGTGCATCCTAAACCTTTCAGTGCCTTGCACGGTCCCTAGTGCCATCAGAAACAACTTCAAAGGTTGAAGACTGGGTGGGTCAAGCACTTGCAGTGGAAGATCACCCGGGCATTAAGTCTCCTAAGCGGGGCATGCCAGTTTTTTCTCAGCCGCATCGCCCAGATCCGAATTGAATGCGACCCAAACAGAGCTCTCTCTGAGCTTTGCATTCGGAGATCGGGAGAGCGTATCCCCCTCGGATCCTGAAATGTACCCGCTTTGCGATCTTGGTGTGTTGCAAGAACCAAAGGTCGCAAGGTAAATTTCAGACCGTTTGACATCTTTTGACTTGAAAAGTTGAGGCCCTCACGAAATTGTTTGGGTTCGGTCAAATTTTCACCGATTCCGATTCCAATCGCTGGAACGCTACACGCGGGTTGCTGTGCCCGGCGAACCTGAGGCGTGCTTTTGGGGCGTGCCAAGCTGAGGGATGCGAACAGAAAGCCCTGGACGACGAGGGAATATAGGGGAGTTTCTCAAAATGGTGGACCACATGGACCCCTGGTAAAGGGAAACACAAGGTTTCAGCAGCCGCAACATGGCGATTTGGCCGATTCACGACGATGCCAACCAGATCTCCAGGATCCATCAGCGTCGCTCAAAGCCGAGCGGAGGCGCGTGGCGGCTATCGGCTCAGAGCACCTCGGGTTGTTCATCGAGTTCTGCTGCGGTCTCCTGAGCTCAGAACTCCCAGTTTGCACCCAGACCCAGTCGGTTCGGTGATCACCTTTGGGGGGGCCAAAACGGGAACCCGACATTGGGAAACCAAAGGGTCAGATCAGATCAGGTCGATTTGCTTTGGACTGAGAGAATCAAGGCCTCAAGGGTCAGAAGAATCCCGACTCCAAGCTTCAGCTGCCGAAAGCTGAACATATTGGCTCAGAGGTCATTATCTCCGAGCCCAACCAGGGGTTTGCCTTTTTGCGCCGTAAATTGTTTGGAACCTCAGCGCAGAAACCGTCTCTGTGTGGGTCCCTCTATTTCCCCACGGGTCAACGGTTAAACCTACGCCTCATGGCGGGCCTTTTCCTGTTCCGCCCACGAGTTCTGCGAAGGCATGTTGCCAATGCAAGCATTACCAAGTTTCTCTAGCGCATGCTCTTGCTGCGGAAAGCAAAGCCATAAGGACAGCGCACCGACCCAGCTCTTTCAAAGCATGGCAGTGCTGCAAGTCCACTATAAACAGCTTTGTGAGAGTAATGCCACGATGCCTTGCGACTTGAGCTTTACAAAAGCCTGTACAAAGATGCGTCACCAAACGATAGTCAGTACGCCACCTGAATTAGAAACGGACTCTGGTCCGGCATCCAAAGCGCAGCGCCCTTAAACAGCATGCAAGAGTACCTGCCGGCGGGTTGCCCGTATCTCAAATATGTTTTTTCAGGTCTGGCCTCCGGTCCCCTGCTACAGTTTAAGTTAAATGGAAGCTCCCACTAAACCCCTGAAACCAAGAAAACCTAAGGACCAGGATGGCTGGGAACCAAGTTTGGGGGGCTTCTCCAGGTGTTTCCAAGGACCTATCAACCTAGGAAATTTGACTGGAAACTCGGCGGGGACGGCTCGTGTGCTGAACCGATTTCGAACAACCTGCCCAATTGCTGTTGGAAGCTGGCTCATAGCAAACAGAAACACAAACACAAATAAACACAAACAAGGACAGGGACAATGACAGAAACAGAAACAGAAAGCAAGCAGGCAAGCAAGCAAGCAAGCAGGCAGGCAGGCAGGCAAGCAACGCAAGCAAAGAAAGCAAAGAAAACAAAGAATGCAAGAAGGCAAAGAAGGCAAGAAAGCAACAGAGCAAACACAAACAAGAGCACAAACACACACACACACAAACACAAAACCCACAGAAGCACAGAAACACAGAGACGCAAAGGCACAGAGGGGCAGAGAGACAAAGACAAAGAGACAGAGAGAGAGAGAGAGAGAGAGAGAGATAGAGAGAGCCAAACAAACAAAGAGAGAGCGAGACAGAAAGGGAGAGAGAGAAAGAGAGAGAAAGATAGAGAGACAAAGAGACACCCAAACACCCCCACACCCCGCACGCACACACACACACACACACACACACACACACACACACACACACACACACACACACACACACACACACACACACACACACACACACACACACACACACACACACACACACACACACACACACACACACACACACACACACACACACACGCACGCACGCACGCACGCACGCACGCACGCACGCACGCACGCACGCACGCACGCACGCACGCACGCACGCACGCACGCACGCACGCACGCACGCACGCACGCACGCACGCACGCACGCACGCACGCACGCACGCACGCACGCACGCACGCACGCACGCACGCACGCACGCACGCACGCACGCACGCACGCGCACACACACACACCCACACCCACACCCACACCCACACCCACACCCACATCCACACCCACACCCACACCCACACCCACACCCACACCCACACCCACACCGCAACAGAAACACACACAACACAAAACACACAAGCACAAACACAAACCACCAATCAAAGAAGATAACAACACAGCAAGCTAAGCAAACAGCCAGGCAGGTAGGCAGGGCAGGGCAGGCCAGGCAGGCCGACACACGGACACACACACAAACACACACAAAACAACACACATCAATCCAAAGGGATGGAACGCCACGTGAAAACTTCAAGAAGTTCCCAGTCCAAAGACTTCGCCCCAAGTTTTGGGGCCTTGGGGTTTGGCCGTAGATTCCCGCACAAGGCCCGGGTGGCTTGCATAGTCCAGTAAACACCTCCAGTTGCCATGGTCACAGAAAACCGCACTGTCTGCAATACAAGAGTGATTGATTCCCATGACTCCCACTTGCCTTTAGACAAAAAACAAAAACGCGCGATAGCTTGACCGAACTTCATGTAAGGGGCCAAATCCCGTGCACCGTTTTTTTTGTCAGTAGTCCACGCGAGCCGGGCAATGTTTCATGCGTGCCCCGATGGATTTTGATGAACCTCCATAAGTGGCAACTTGGTGAGCGTTGCCTGTCATTGCTTTGACACCAGACACTGGTGAAACTTGGCCTCTCATCTTCACAGGTCTCTTTCTCTTGGAGAACAAGGAGACCAACCCCTCAAAGTGACTCAAGTCCAACCCGGCGGAGTGACAAAAACGCGCCGAAACCGAAGCCATGCCCTCGCCTGAAGGCCCAGCTTCTCGCGCTCTCTCTGAGAAGCGCCTCGGCGACTGATCCATCTCCAACAGCCCGGGCGTCAGGAGAAATCGCCGTGTGTTTCCAACGCGGCGCTTAAAAGCGGATGGGCGCCACAAACCAAGTTGCCACTGAGCCCAACTTTTGCTCCCGCAGGAAGGGAAGAGCCAGAGTTGGGACAGAACTCTGAGATTGGCGATTCAGACATTTCCTCCCGCCCGGTCCGCGGGGTCCTCGACAAAGGCCTGGCCTTTCGGCACCAGGTGGCAAAAAATGGCGCACGATGCTTTTTAGTACCACGCAAAAACACCACCTCCAACCAATACCTGATTCTTTACCTTGGGGGATTTTATTGGGTGTTTATCATAGTTTTTATTGGCTTGTCCAACAACCACCTCTCACGGTTTTCCTGGGGTCCGCATAGAATGTCAAAGCATGGTTGGCGTCCATTGAGTTGATGCAACTGGGAATGAGGGAAGCGCTGTAAACCTCAATTCACCAGTCAAATGGGCCGCGCCGACTTTTACGGTCGGAATTTGCTTCTGCCCGGCGATCGTCCCATACCCAGCTACTCCGGGTCTGGTGATCATTTCCGTGGGGCCCGGTTTCTGTCCGCCAAATTTGAGGGATGCTCCAACCATGCCAATGGAGAAACCTCGATGAATGTTCCTTCTGTCGACCCCACCGGTAAACTACAACTTGGACATTGTCCTTTTTGGAGTTACCATTTTGGTGTGGGGTGAAAAAGGAACCAACACAAAACTACCGTCTTTTTGGGTCCACGGACTGAGCTCGGAGCAACCTCTGCTTTTCAAGGGGACATCCGATGCCGAAGCTGCCCTCCGAGCACCCCACTCTTGGGGGATGTACGGCCGAGCAGTGCCAAAAGACCGGACAGGCACTTCCTGCACGTGGTTCCCCCCTCGAAATGCCCCGGCTTTCCCGGCTTCAAGGAAATTGATGTCAACCCTTAGGAAGGGGGCATTTTAGCCTGGGAAACCTCTGTATTTTCAATTCACAACTTCACAACCGAAACAACACAACTCTTTGGGGGAAGTTGTGCCCTCCGCCGACTCCCTTGGAAGGTCAGTTCCTAGGGGCACTAGCCCTTATGGCTCGCGAACATCTGAGTTATATTTCACCAACCTGAAAGAAGGTGGTTGGGTGGGTATTCCCCACATAAACCACCGTTTAGGCTGAGGTCGTGTGAGGTCGCTATAATTCACCCAGTAACATGAAGTCCGAGAGTTGTCCTTCATGACAGCCATGGGCATTGGTCCATGTTGCGGGCGCTGCGTGCTTCTCTGCGCTGCCATTCGAAAGGAGCCAAACTTCTGCACAGCTTGCCGCATTCATCATGCCTTTATTTTACAGCTGCATCTCCCTGTTCCCCGTCCTTGGGCTGACCTCCTCCTCGTTACCTCAGCTGAAGCTGAGACACAAGTCTGGCCCCGTGTTTGGCCTTTGGGAGGCGTTTGTGGTCTGATGTCGCAACACCATGGCCGCATCTCGCGCAAGCGCGACGCGCATCTCGTGCCGTCAGAAGCTACAAACCAGCGGCTCCCAGGTTTCAAGGCCAAGCCCAGTTTCAAGGGGTGATGGTTTCAAAGCGAGTTACCAGCCCGGAGAAGTGGTACATCAAATTTGGGATGCGGACCATGGTTTTCCTTTTGCCCTTTTGCTTTCCCTTTTCCTTTGCGTTTACTTAGAAAGGAACACAAAATGGGTACCTGGACCTTCAACATTTCCCTCAAACACTATGCGGTTGCCCCAACATCTACGGGAAACACTCCACTTTTTGTATGGTTGCCCCAACCTTCTGAGAAACATCCCACTTTTTGTCTGGGGAGTTTGTCTAGGTCCTTCAATAAAGAGGTTAGAATAAGGGTGCCCTTTTCTCTGTAGTCTATTTTAGTAGGGGAACCTTTCCCCAAGAAAGAAACGGTAAAGGTTGGCGCTACTGGGAGACCTAGTTGAAGGTTCGCAGGAGAAGGGTGTTGGAGCATATGAGTCCGAGCAAATGAACCCATTCTTCTACGGGGCACCTTCCAAAAAAAAACATCGCCGAGCTGCTGGAGTCGGAGTCCTCGCGGGCCGTCAGTGCGGGCTCGCCTCGTGACGTTGATTCGCGAGACATCGCGCAACGAGTGGCGAGCTGTTTGGGTCCGTCGTCTTTTTGATGGCTACCCCCCCTCCAAAGGTACGACTGCAGTTCAGTTTTACTGCTCAAGGCACACACACACACCCCTAAATCCATCAAACCCACAACCCCTCTTTTCGTAACCACGATGTCAAGCCTCCTTTGGCATACTATGTTATTGGAGAACAAATCCCAACGTTGAAGCTCCCAAGAGACGCATGTGAGGGACTCCTCATAAGGACGACTTGAAAAAAAACCTCGTGACCGGCCAGTTGCAGGTGCGCTGCGGCTGCCCAGTTGGCCAAAGTGGGCAGAGTGCGGAATCCCATACGTGCACATGGCCATGGGTCAAATCCAAATCGTAGCCCCAGTGAACATCCCATTCCCCACTATAGACTAAAATGGGTGGTGCACCTACCCCAAAATGGTACCATTGGTGTTGACCTACAGCCATATGACACACAAAATCTGCAGCTGGCAGTTGAAAAACCGTCTGAAGTAGCTTCAAAGGCATCTCACATCGCGCCCTTCCTCCTACAATCATGGAGAACCTGTGGGAGATCTCGAAAGTCATATGAATAAACTGTTTCCCTGACAGGTGCGACGCAAATGTTGACCCAGGATGAATCAACCTCTCGATGAACAAGGCGGTGTCCCATAGAGGAAGTCCGTTCGACAGTGGTCAGGTGCCATAGCCCATGGAGAGTGCCTTGCAATTGCTATGATTTGTTTCTGCACCCTACGGAACCAAACCAGCTTGACCATACCCCTTCAAGGTTGGTTGGCGTTGGAAGGGGAGAAAAAGTTTAAACTTTAGAAGCTAAGTGGGGATTCCCCACTAAACCACAACAAGCAAACATGCAAAAAAAAGAGTTTCCCAACAACAACCATAGTTATAGGGTTGCACCCTATGGTTTGTTTATGCACCCCTTGGTTTGTTTATGCACCCCTGGTTTGATGCATCGGTCAAACTGAGGCCTACATCGCGGCCTTCGAAAGGCATCAAAACCCAACGGGTGCTCGTCCGTTTCACCATTGGCGCGCAACCGAGTCTTCGCGCACATTGTCCAGTCTTCAAAGGGCCCTCGAAAAATCGGGGCTTCTCTGTGGTATCCCAAGATTACCTTTTTTCTGGGCCCTCAACACAAAGCAATTTGTCCACCGCCCAGAACCCCCACCTCACCACGCAAAGGCCCCCACCGCACCAAACGAAAGCTCATTAAAAAACAAGGCGCACAAGGTGCTGTCCAGCCCCCCAAAAGTAGGAAGATGGATGGGTATCATGTTTTCTTTGTTGCTTTCACGGGAACCCCACAAATTTGTGGCACATCCCCCAATTTTTACACATACCCACGAGGATGGACTTTTTTTGGATGGTTTAACTACGTTTGGAATCCCCGTTGACCCACGGCCCGAAACCCCCCCGGTAGGGCGCCCCGTTGGCCGCGTTCGCCGCGCCGCTTGCGCCGAACGGAACCGCCGCGCCTGGCCGCTCTGGGCTCAGGTGGCCCGTGCCCGGCTCCAAGGGCTCTGGTGCAGGCGACCCTTCGGCTTCTGCGCGCAGGGCCTGGAACGACGAACTGAAGCGCTTCACCGGCCCGCGCCAGGCGGTGTGCAGGGCCTTTGTGGCTGCGTGGGGGACTTGTCCTGAGGGATACTTGGCGGTTAGGGCCTGGCTTGGCACCAAACTGGGGGACTTGTCCTGGGGGATTCAAGTTTTTTTCTCAAAGGAGTAAGTCAAAGATAGGCTTTTTCTCCTTGGAGAAAGGCTTGACTCCTTCCACTCACAGGAACTGGAAGGGCTCACGCATGCCGACTTCCCGAAGGATCCCAAGGATCAGGGGCTAAAGCTGGGGGAGGTGGGGGGGGGGTCTCGAAATTTCTGGCTTCACCGGACCGGACCGGTTCTTTCGTGAGTCCTTTTGTCTGTGTTCTGCTCTCTTGCCTTCTTTGTGTTGATTGTTTGCTTATACATCGTGGCCAAAGGAAAATTAAGACGGCGTTGACAAGTTGAAGCTCAAATGGAAAACGGGCCTTTGGTGTCTCCAACATGCCAATGCGTAGTTTCCTTTTGGTTTCGCACAAACTGGTCAACCCTGAACAGAACGGCTCAAACTCAACCGAACATAGCCCTACTTTCAACGCTCTCAGGACAGGTGGCCGTGTATTGGGCCGGCCTCTCGCATTTGGTTTCGGGATGTTTCGGGGCTTCATGCAACCAAAACATGAGTTCGACATGGACCCGGAGTGGTCGGAACCTCGAACCTGCCCAAGGCGGGACAAGGCGACATATTTGGACCTTGATAGATTTCTTTGGAGGATGCTGGGCTTCCCCTGAGCCTGGTTTTGCAGTGCATGTTCCAACCCAGACTCTAGCAAACATACCCTGCCCTTCCTTGGACGTAAGGCCAACATGTGCCGAGCCGGGCCAGCATTCGCGAAACCATGGCAAAGGCGCCCTTCCACAGGAAGCCAATCCGGAGGACATGTTTTTTGGGACTAATGCACCCAAAGTGCCCCGGGAATAATCTATCCATATGGGTATGGGTCAAAATTAAACCACCAGGAATTGGACCGCAGGTTTTAGTCCTTGGTTCCATTTACCAGGGCTCCATTTAGGGTACCTATTTTTGACCCACAGCCATATATTTTATGGGAAGACCAAATGGCGGTCGGGTACTTGTCATCAGCCCGACACAAATGTTCAAAACAACTTGCCAGGCACCCTCCAAGCCGGAAGGGCATCGATCATATTTTTGCTTTTCCCCGGTGGTTTTTCGGGATACTGAACTCTTCTGCAGTCTTGCAGTCAAAACATAACAAAAGGTGGATGGAAATAAAACCAAACCTGTCAAACTTTGGACGTTGGTTTCATGCTAGTGCCCTTATACTTTTCAATACTTGATATAGACACAAGGAGTCCCCCTTATTGACACGAGCACACACACACACACCAAAGAGTGCAGGCTGCTCCCAGTTACTCTTTGGCATTCGCACACCCACCGACCGCGCCTCTCTGTACCATTCAGCCTGACTTTTCAAGGCTATCGACAAACAGATTTGTCCCAATTGGGCCCTTTTGTTGAACAGTCTTGCAAACATCTTGGCCCATGGAAACAAACCAGTGGTTTGTTATTGTAGAATCGCACAAACAGCCTTTGCAACTCGCCATTCAAATCGCCTGGCAAACAAAAAAGGCACATATGCTGAGCTTGGCTGCGCACCCCCCCCTCCCAAAAAAAAAAAAAAAGAAAGAAATAAGAAGCCGCAAGCAGCTGAATTGATCATGCCGGGCCTGCCGGCTTTTTGCACGCCGGGGATACTTGACCAATAGCAAATCGCTGAGCAAAGTTCAAGCCATGTGCTGATCCCTACTGCGGCATGCGTGACATCACAGACCGATGACATCACGTGACACGCATAGAACAAGTCGCTGGCCCCGATTTGTTTGGAAGACCAAGCTGAGTGGCAGCTCGGGTGCGGTACTTCTGCGTAATTGGCAGGTCTTTCGGGACACCCTGCTGCTCCATGAACCTATGGAAGCGCTCGTTGCCTCAGCCGTTTGGCAAGCGAGTGAAGCTTTGGCTTCTGAGCGACAAGAAAAACAAGGAACTAGGAACCAACAAGAACTAACTGCCCAGAAGAGCAGGCAAACAACATAAAACCTGCTACAACTTGAAGGAAAGCGGTATACCCTCCTGCAGATTGACGTGGAACTCCAAAGACAATCATGTTCAGAGGAATCGTGTTTTGGGACACCCCTGACAGGGGTTCTTGGCGTGCACTAGGGTATACATATACATACTGCCGAATCTGTCCGGTTTCTCTTTTGAAGCGCGCCTCCCAGCTCCATCATCTTGAGATGAATCGGCTTCCAGGCGTCCAAGTACAGGGACCTTACTTTCATTCCAGGGGTACCTTCCATTTCCATTCTGAACCCAGGGATCCGAATCTTTCCAGAAAACTATCAGAACCCTAGGGGAAACAGCGATCGGCTTTTGAAAAGAAGGATGCCTGAAAAGAACGGGGAATCAAACCCTATGGTTGCCAATGGGAACAGGAACGCGCACTTGCCTTTTCTTTGGCTTATACCAGGGACTTGTCCAGGGGAAACGGAACACATAGTTTGAGTTTGATTGTTGCTTGGAAAACTCGTCCACAAATAAATGGGATTTCTCTGCTACTTGACAATAACGCTCAAACAAAAAAGGGTACCCCATCCCCAAAAAAGGGAAAATTATTTGGCAAATGATTGATTCCAAATGGTTTTGTAGAGGGGAAATCCCGTCATAATGGGAAAGCCGGGGGCTGAAGTCCCATTCCATAGAAAATGTCCCTTCGATTCACAAAATGAACATATATCCATCCATACATGGCTTCTGGTCAAATTGCTCGAATTCGCCGATTGGAATAAGTACTCCTCCAAAAAAAACACCGCGCGGGAGGGGGGTGATGCTAAACACTGAGAAAGGCTTACATCAGGAAATAATGAACAAAAAGCCCGGAAAGGCGTAACAAAACGTCACATGATAGCAGCTGCAAAGTGAGGGATGCCTTAAAGGGACGTAATAAGCCGGGGAGAGAGGGGACGTCAAGGAAACTTGAGGGTATGACATCTTGGAGGCCACGATTGGGTGGCTCGTCTTTTTTTGGGGACGAACACAACGGCGGGTCTTCCTGTTGGTTTCCCTTTAAAACGCAACCAAAAAGGGGTTTCCTCCCAACAAAAAACACACTCAATTGTGGGTCCCAAATCCAAATCGTCCGTGACACATACCCAGTTGTTGCCCGCGGGGCTTCAACCATGTGGAAAAACAACCAGAAGTTGGATGGTCTGAAGAGGACACCAGAAGGAAACACCAGTGTTTGTTTAGGAGGCTCTCCAAAATGGCATAGGTTTTCCTTTTGCAATGCTTACCCTTTAAAGCCATCCGCCAACGGGGCACCAACTGGAAACCGAAAAAAGGAACCCGCAGCCGACACGTTCCACGCGGCCGGGGGGCTGAACGAAGCTAGTCTTCACCCCGAGGCTCCGGTGCTTGCCCGAGGCCTCGATGCTGATGTAGATCCCGTGGGACACAGAGGCCCAGACCTTGGTTGCTGTAACGACCCCCCGGCAAAAAGTTCTGCACTTTTTGGGGGTTGAGCGGAAAACCCTTTGATTTCCCAATTGTTTGGCGGTGTAGTGGAAAACCCAACTTGATTTCAACCAAAAAGTTGAAGTCTAAAGATCCAACCTCAGCTGCGCCGCTTCGATGGCTGCGTTGTCAAAACCGTCCACTTGAAGCTTTGGCCCAAGGAGATGCAAAAACCATGTCCTTTGATAAATGAGAAGAGAACCAAAGGGAAGCCAATGGAACCCATCAACAACTAACGTAAAATGACGCAAAACTTGAATGAAACCAGGGCTTGAAAGGTGGGCGGGAGTCATGTTTTGAGAAATATGCATCCTCAAAAAGACATACTCAAGTGGTCTCCGGTTTCTCCCGTTGCTCCAGAAATGCGAAACAGCGAATCCTACCTCTACAGAATTTCGGTCATCCTCTTTTGTTGGTCGAAGGAACAACCCTGTTGGTTGACAAGTTTGGACGGTTTTGTCTCGAGGTTCACGATCTTGCAGCAAACTTAGATGGTGCTCAAAACCTGTTCTGGGCGAATTATAATATTGCACCAACCTGAAATAAGGTGGTTGGGGGGCTATTCCCCACATAAACCACCATTTGGGGTGAGGTCGTCTGAGGTTGTTATAATTCACCCAGACCTGTTTGCTTTCGGTGCAAGCACGCGCCCTGTACCAATTCTTCCACTCAAGGATCAGGACTCCTGCTGGATTCTGAATAGCCGAAAAAGCGACTTGAGTCAATTCATCATGAGTACCTGAAGTTTGGAGTTGATCGGGGGCAATGGGACAGGTTCACGAGGCGGCCAATGGATTGATCTAAGCCAGCTCCTGTCTATTCTGGACAATCACCCTTTCTCTGAGCATGAGGTTATTGAAGGGGATTTCACTCGCGAAGTTCAAGCCTGCCTGTTGCTTTCTGATTTCTGCCTGGCCTTTCCAGGCAGAAATCACCCGACGCCTCCGCTAGTCGACACCCAGTCGGTGCAGCATCTTTTTGGACCGTGGGCGTTGACGGTGTGCATTTGTTTGATCGTGTGCGGTGGTGAACGCTGAATGTCAACACCTGATGAATGATTTGGACAAACAAACTTCCGCGGGGATACGGAGGGAGCGGGGATACGGGGGGATTCTCTTGGCGTCATTTAAGGTGCTAGTTGGTGTCCCCTGAATGATGCCCCTTTCGTCATTCATAAAGAAGACCCTCTTGGAGTTGCTGTCCTCCTGAGACAAGCGTCTGCTGACCAGTAAGTACGGCGAGTAACCGGAAGCTAACATTAGCAGAACTCAAATGGCTCAATGCACTGACATGCCTACAGCAGAAAGGATGCGCCCAGTCTTTCCAAGACTTGTTGAAGTACCTTCCCGAAAGCAATGGACAAAACTGGACAAAAAATGGTAATGCAAATGGTCTTCGAGAAAACCAGAACAACACCAACCACTGGAAATACCTAGTAGTTACACATACCCAAGTGGAGGGTGAGTCTGCTGCTTGCGTTTGAAGATCCCGCGTGAGAACCCTTGAAAAGAGTCAACGCACCGTGATGTCACGCGAAGCAGTTTCATGCGGCGTAATGCCATGGTAGGATCTGGCATGATACAGTACAACATGGTGCATTATTTGGGAAGGGTATGGGATATAGCGTGGGGTATGTCTTTGCTCGAATCATATGGAACATGGTAAGGACCATACATATATATATATATATATGTATAATATATATGTATATATATATATGCATGTGTGCGTGTGTGCATGTATGTTGCATGTATGCAAGTTTACATGTTTGCATGCAACGCATGACTGCGCGGATGCATGCATAGGATGTATGTTTCTTGCTTGCACACGTGCATGCTCAAACGTGTGTCTCTGGCTATGCGTGTATATAAGTGTGCATGAAGAAAACTGAGCGTGGATGCATCACTGTGCATTACAAGGCCAGGTGCTTTCTATAGTAAGTCTCTCGTGTTGAACAATGCGCATGTATGTGTGTGCTCGTGTCTGCCTCTATGCACATGTGTGTGTGTGTGTGTGTCTTGTGTGTTTGTGCGTGTGTGCTTGTGTATGTCTGCTTGCATATGTGTGTGTGGTGCACGCGGTGCCGCGCCGTGCCGTTCCGTGCTAGTGCCGTTTTTTGGCGCTCCGTTCTGTTCCCTGCGTCTGCGTGTGTGCGCGCGCGCGTGGGGGCTGGGTGTCAATGTGCGAGTGTGACTGTCCACGTGAGCGTCTGGGGATGATTGTGTCTGCATCACAATACGCGCTCGGTGTGGGCTAAACAATTAATCCACATACGTCTCTCCCTTTCAACCCTGAATACCAGCATGGGCAACCAGTATCGTGCGGAAGCAACTGATCGCAGGCCTGGCCAAACTGTCCGAGAATCTGTCGCAACATCTCTGATTGCCAGGCCGTTGGAGTTGCTGGTTGAAGAACGTATGCACTCTGGCATCCATTGCAAAAGGATTTGGGAGCTTGTCTTTAAAAGCTCCCACTGGCTAGCTGCCCACCTGAGGTAGGATTGAGCCATGTCCGCGCACGTGTGCCACTAGCTCACATCAGGCTTGCTAGAGGATTTTCTGGTGCCATCCCAAAGTCAGAATATCATTCATGATACGGCGGATGCCCCAAATATTGGGAGTAAACCAACCATACTCCGCCACAAAGCAATGGTAGATGCCGGTAAATTGGAGGCTTTCCGTGTTCTCTTACTCGCAAAAAGTGTGGGCATCCACCGGTCGCCGCGGCGAGAAGCACCAAGTCCGTCCTCCCGGAGGCGTGCCGACATTTGCGAGAGGAAGCGGGCCTCAAGTCCAAGGCCGCGCAGATCGCTGGTGCAAAGGGACTACAAAGCCCCCACTTCTGAGTGGGCAAAACGTACGGCTCGGCCCATGCACACGTCCTCCGGCAAAGGAACAGTGTATACAGGTCGCTTGAGGGCAAAAGCGCCCACCATTCATACAATACCTGGGGCTACGGTACCCCTTTGTGTTGGGGGCTGGATTGAAAAGGGCAGCAGGGAACCCAGCGATTTGGGAAGGTTTTCGCGAGGGCTCGAGACTCTCCGCACTCCTCCCCAGCCGCTTTCAGCGATCGAAGCATGTCTCGTGGACAAGAGACCCATCCAACGACAAATCAGTAGCACCTGGCCCAAGCATTTTCCCACAGGAACACCCGAAAATACTGGTTGTGCAAATGCAAAATCGCTTGGCTGTGTTAATTTGGTTGGGTAAGACACCCCCCAACACGAAACGTTTAGGGAAATCGCTCAAAAACACGCCAAAGGACCCTTACGCAGCCCCTGGGCAACCGGACCTTGATGCTATGCTTCCCAGACGGGCTCCTGTCGGCTCGCCATGTGTGTCTTCAAATCAAAACCCCCAAATGCGCAGAAGACAAACCACCCGAAAGGGTATCCTCAAGAAACACAACATGGATGTGACTCAAAACCAGGGACGCTGCCGATCTATTCCTTTTTCATGCTTGCGTCCTGAGCTGAACCAACAATCACATATGTATCTTTCAAGCTTGCACGGTGAGCCGTGATTCGAGCTCGCCGATAGCTCAAGACAGCACTCACCGCGTGCATGGTTCTGCACTAGCATCCCTCTATCCAAACCCCCAAACGCTTCTGGCATAGTATAAGAAGCTAAATCACTTACACACATGATTCTCCCATGATCATGGGGCAATTCGGTGCATAGTACCCCAGAAGCCCGTTCTCATTACTAAGCCAATTATAATATGCACACATGAGTCATCATCAAAACCTGGTATTAAAATGGTCTACCCAAATCCATGTCAACAAAGAGTTAACCAGGCGGCATCCATTTTTGGTTGGGACTATCCCTTACCCTCCCACCAACTAACATGGAAGTGCAGAAACCGGATCCCTTTCCAAGAGGAAAGTCGTCTTACAGGGGTCTGTGCACAAACCCATGTGAGCTGGGAGGCTACCAGGTTTCTTGAACCATCCCCAAACCAATCACCACCAAATTGCCTGATAGGTCACCTGCCATGGGGTCAGGAGGGCTCCTTTTGGCCCTCCCGCATCCTAATTTTAAGGACGTGGCGCACGCATTTTCTCATCTATCTGGGCCGCTGGCTTGCCATGCGCTACCTGGCCGAGGGCCAAGCGCCAAAGGCCCGGGAGTGGATGGCATTTATCGACCTGCACATCTTTGTAAGCACATCTATGTATATATAAGAATGATCACCCCCCGCCAGGGCCTACCTTTCCTGTCAAGTCTACTCCGTGTGCCTCGTACTTACGTATGTATGTAGAGGGTGTGAATATATGAGTTGAACTGAATTGAATTGAACTGATTTTAATTGAAATGAGTTGAAATGAAGTGAAGTGGAATGGAATGGAATGGAAGGAGAATACATCCGCCGACCCCATGCCTGGTCCAGACTGGACCATGCTTTTGGCATGGGGGCGGTGTGTTCTGTGTTGCTTTTGTTGATATGTTTTCTATAGGGTTATGTGTGTATATATATATATATATATATATATGCCCCTTGGGGCGGGAAAATACGTCGGCTGGATTTCTGGCTCTCTGGATCTCTGGATCTCTGGATGTCTGAATGTCTGGATCTCTGGGTCTGGATGTCGTGTCTGCGTGTCTGGATGTCTGGATGTCTGGATGTCTGGATGTCTGGATGTCTGGATCCCCTTCCCCCCCCAAACCTCCCCCCCTCTCCCTTCCCCCCCTCCCCCCGTCTCTTTGTGTCTGTCTGTGTCTGTCTACGTATTATCTGCGCCTGTCTTCGTGTCCGCGAAGACCCTCACCCCCCCCCCCCCCCGTGTCTGTCTGTGTCTCTTTGTGTCTGTCTGTGTCTGCCTGTGTCTGTCTATGTATCTGCGTCTTTCTCGTGTCCGCGAAGACCCCCCCCCCTGCGTGTCTGTCTCTGTCTCTTTGTGTCCGTCTGTGTCTGTCTACGTATCTGCGTCTGTCTTCATATCCGCGAACGGGTCTGTGCACGCGTGCTTTCTCCGAATTTCTAAGGTGCATGGGGGCGGCGGAACCAGGCCGCAGGCCATTAAATACATGTAGGTATGCAGGTACGCACATCGGTTTGTCTGTCTGGCTGTCTGTCTGTCTATCTGTGTTTGTGTATATACGTATGAACGTACGTACTCAATGCATGTATGCATCCATGCATGCATGGGTGCGTGCCTGAGTGTGTGTGTGTGCATGTATGTACGTGTGTCTGTTTGTGTACGTGCACATGTGTGTATGTGTCCATGTGTATAAATACATATATATATATATATGCATATGTGCATGGATGAATGACTGTGATGTATGCGTATGCATGTATCTATCAATGCATCTAGCCAGTTCGCGCAGGGCAAGCAGCATGACGTTCGTGAATTGGTCCGCCATGTCCGAAGATGCGTTCACCGAGGCCACGGGAAAAGAGGAAATTATTCATCCTGTATGTACGGTGGTGTTGTAGTGTCAGGGCTTATGTATGTATATTCTTCATTTCTCTACGCATCGATGCGTAGCATCTTTGTTTAATTAAAGCTGCGTTACCTACAGTATGTACACGCATATACCGACATGAACATATATGGACATATATGAACATGCATAAACATATGTGCAAGCAAAAGTAGATACACATCAAAAAAAGTGATGTTGCGCATACATAAATACATTACATTACATTACCTTACCTTACATTACATTGCATTACATTCCAGTACATACATACATACATACATACCTACATGCATAACATAACATTACATACATACGTACATACATTACATACATACGTACATACATTACATACATACATACATACATTACATACACTACACACATACACACATACACACATACACACATACACACATACACACATACACACATACACACATACACACATACACACATACACACATACACACATACCACATACACATACACACATACACACATTACATTACATTACACATTACATTACATTACATACATTACATTACATTACACATTACATACATACATACATTACATACATACATACATACATACATACATACATACATACATACATACATACATACATACATACATACATACATACATACATACATACATACATACATACATACATACATACATTATACATACATACATACATACATACATACATACATACATACATACATACATACATACATACATACATACATACATACATACATACATACATACATACATACATACATACATACATACATACATACATACATACATACATACATACATACATACATACATACATACACACATACATACATACCATACATACATACATACATACATACATACATACATACATACATACATACATACATACATACATACATACATACATACATACATTACATACATACATACATACATACATACATACATACATACATACATACATACATACATACATACATACATACATACATACATACATACATACATACATACATACATACATACATACATACATACATACATACATACATACATACATACATACATACATACATACATACATACACATACATACATACATACATACATACATACATACATACATACATACATACATACATACATACATACATACATACATACATACATACATACATATACATACATACATACATACATACATACATACATACATACATACATACATACATACATACATACATACATACATACATACATACATACATACATACATACATACATACATACATACATACATACATACATACATACATACATACATACATACATACATACATACATACATACATACATACATACATACATACATACATACATACATACATACATACATACATACATACATACATACATACATACATACATACATACATACATACATACATACATACATACATACATACATACATACATACATACATACATACATACATACATACATACATACATACATACATACATACATTACATACATACATACATACATACATACACATACATACATACATACATACATACATACATACATACATACATACATACATACATACATACATACATACATACATACATACATACATACATACATACATACATACATACATACATACATACATACATACATACATACATACATACATACATACATACATACATACATACATACATACATACATACATACATACATACATACATACATACATACATACATTACATTACATTACATTACATTACATACATACATACATACATACATACATACATACATACATACATACATACATACATTACATTACATTACATTACATTACATTACATTACATTACATTACATTACATTACATTACATACATACATACATACATACATACATACATTACATTACATTACATTACATTACATTACATTACATTACATACATACATACATACATACATACATTACATTACATTACATTACATTACATTACATTACATTACATTACATTACATACACATACATTACATACATACATACATACATACATACATACATACATACATACATACATACATACATACATACATACATACATACATACATACATACATACATACATACATACATACATACATACATACATACATACATACATACATACATACATACATACATACATACATACATACATACATACACACATACATTACATACATACATACATACATACATACATACATACATACATACATACATACATACATACATACATACATACATACATACATACATATATATACATTACATTACATACATTACACATTACATTACATTACATTACATTACATTACATTACATTACATTACATTACATTACATTACATTGCATTGCATTGCATTACATACATGCATACAGTATATACATACATACATTACATACGTACATACATACATACATGCATGCATAGAGACATACATACATACCAAAATACACTCCATTCATGTCTATCTCTATATATATTTATATGAATAGACCAATCTACACGGAGTTCCACATCAGTACGTTCAAGTCTATTCATACGTGCTGTATCCCAGTCAAATGACTTCGCACAGTGCAAAGTCCAAACAGGAGACAAGCTCTCGAACTCTGAATTTGAAGAAAGAAAGGCTCTGTCAAAAGCCGGGGAAGGGAGTTGTGGTGCCCCAACGATACAAGGCGTACGCACAATCTCGAGGTTGCGTTTGCATTGTGCAATAGAGTCAATGCTGGTCATGTCAGCCAAAATCGCGATGCATTGCTAACGCAATTAGAACTTCCGTTTTTGCATACGTAGATAATGAGTGCCGCCTATATGTCATGTAATGTCTTGTCAGCCATGCCGTCCCTGTGATGTTATGTTTGTATACATACGTGTATACATATATATAGTGTGTATGTATATATATATATAATTTGTATCCATACACATATGGCAGCATCAACACAGTACGGGGGTTGTGCAAAACTACCGCCCCTGAAAACTGCCCGTCCGGCCCTTCCGCCCTTGGAAGTTCAATAACACACAAGTTGCTGGTGGAGCCGTTGGTTTTCAGTCGCTCGAGGGGCTTGAGGCAGGCCTGGACACAGTCGTCTTCCGTAACTTCCAGAGAAACTTCCGCGCGGGTTCCGTGCTTTTGTGTTGGCCCTGGGCCCAATCTACGACACACACACACACACACACATACGGCCCCATATACGCACAGCTCCGCATCCCTTCCGCATGTCTTCCGCTGCACTTCTGCCACTGGGAAGCTCATGCCATGGTTTCGCGACCCCCTGACGTATCGAGCTTCAGCCGTTCAGCTCTAACCCTGTGCCAGCCTTTTCCCCCATCTCGTCCGGAGCCTCCCCGACATCCTGCACAGAAAAAGAAAATCATAATAATAATAATAATAATAATAATAATAATAATAATAATAATAATAATAATAATAATAATAATAATAATAATAATAATAATATATATATATATATATTAAAAGAAGAAGAAAAACAACGGAAGCCTGCGGAAGACAACGGACATCTGCATGAGCAGCAGCAGTTGAGGGGTGTGCTAAACCCAGTCGCGGCCGAAGAGAAAGATCAAAGGGAAGATCAAATCCCCTTCGCGGGGGCTTTTGCGGGGACGCAACTGCAGTTGTATCCAGTGCCCGCGAAAGCGAACATCTTTAAACTTAAAACCTAATTCTCAACCAAAAGCGACGTGAAAGCAATTGCCTCATCAAAGCCTCTCGTGAAAGGAACCTTTCATGCTGTGACAGCCCGGCAAACAGGCCCTTTTCGCGACCCTTGCGTGGGTACGTAAATGATAAACCCCTTTTCGAACCCTTTCGCGGCCTCGGCTAAAGCAACAACTTGAAAACATTGAAATCGATAATTAATTCCTCTCAAATACTAATTTCCAATGCAAAGCTTTTAGAACGTCGCTCATTTGAATGTCCAACTCGTTTTGGAAGGTTTCAATAGGTAAAGCAACATGAAGCCGGAAGCCAAACATTTCTGGGAGTCCCTTTTCGAGACAACCACAAAGCTGACTGTGGCTCTGTCACCGAATTGTTGCTTCTCACAGAACTGGTTGTGGGTGTGGACTTCATTCTCCCAGGGTTCCTACCCAATCTCTTTTTATGAACACTTTCATCTCCCAAACAAAAACGAAGACTGGGCTCGTATTCAAATTGGTCAAACCAACCGTGGAGACGTTGGGCGCCGGTTTTCGTGCGAGTCCGCCGCGTTTTTCTTTCTCGTGAAGAGCGGAGGCCTCCGTCGGCCTCCGTCCGGCCTCGTCTCCATCGAGCACGATGTCACCGGGAAGCGCGTTGTGGTTGTTGAGGCCTGGGGCTCCAGGGACCCCAGGGACCGCAAAGCTCCGCAAAGCTCCGCAAAGCTCCCGGAAAAAACTCGTCACATGGTCAGCAAATGAGTGGACCATTTGGGTGAGGGGCTAGCCCTGTTCAAAACGAATCAGAGACTGTCCTGAAAGGGCTGCGACCTTTTGAAAGCCCGCTGTTCGCACGTTTTGCATGCCGATTCTCACGCTTCACCAGGCTTTCCATGGGTGCGTTTTGCGTCCGAAACCGCCACCGTCGGAAGAAGCATGGGGGTTTCTTGCGCTCCCTCTGCCAAACAAGTAAGCATGTTGGTATGAAGTGATCCCCTACCTGCACAAAGAGGTAGGTTTGTGTGTAGTTTAGATGAATGTCTGACATGTCCCGAAACATTCTGCCATGTTCACCTGACGACAAATATGGGAGATCCCTGGCCAAGTAGAATTCCAGCCTGAGCTAAACATGACAAGCACACTTGCCGGTCGTCATCTGGAAATAGCAAGCAACATATGGGTCTGTCTTTCGGGGAAACCTTGTGGTTGGTTTCAAGGGAAACCAAAAGAACACCAACCGTGTTTGTGGGTCCAACTTAAGAAAAAAGATACACCCACATAGGGGGTACTTCACCAGCGTTAGGTTTCAGGGTGGGAACACCCAGGAGAATAGTACACAACTTGAACTGTCTGCTTCAAATTCCAGTGAACCACAAGTTAAAACATGTGGAACCCTTTGAAGTAGTCTTCCCTAGTCTTCCCACGGATCGTAACTGGAGCAATGGGAAGCCCGTGAATCCATACACCTCTGGTTGCAAACAAAAAGAGGCGTGGTGCCATTTTACAACAAAAAAAGGAATCCTTCACTTTTGGTGGTTGCAACGTGAGGTCTCTCCTTTGGTTTCGCTCGAGTTCCTTTCATCCCTCGCCACTGGGCGTGCGGCTCATCCAGATGCACTGCCTCGGCCCATCGCGGCCCTGCAAGAACCTCCGCAGCGCGCTCGCGTGGCGCTTGTCCAGGCGAGAGTCCTGGGATAGCACCCGACAGTCCGAGAGGACCTGGGACCAACTGGGAACATCGGAGGGGTCCAGTTGGTCCTACCAAGCTGAAAACAAAAGTGGGATCCACACCCATGGTTGCGGCATCTCATGGCCGGGCTCCTGAAACACAGTGGAAAACCAGCGTGGAGTCCTGGGCAACACATATTCACGTTGAGTTTCGGGGGGGGGTCATGCGCATCTTCGGCATGGCAACTCCTCAAGAAAAAGAAAAACGGCCCAGCGCTCGCTCCCATGCCACATTCGGTCTGCCGAGCGTCCGGCTCATCCAGCACGACAAAGGGCGCCAGGGCCTCCCGCATGCCATTCAAGAGGCCCAGCAGCGCGAAGAGCAGGCTCAGGGCGCAAATGTCCCTGGACAGTCAAGGAAAATCTGAAAAACACAAGCCGAGCAATCACTCCCTTCGGCCTTCTTTCGGAAAAAAAACAAAAACAAACACACAAAAGGTCGAAGGGAATGGAGATCTGGATGAAACATGACTAAATAATAGATCACTCTCTCCTTTTGGCTTCCTTTTGGTAAAACGAAAAACCCACGGGCGCGGAGGGAGGGAAACAACTACATAAACAAATCGCGAGTGAAGGGTGCCACCCATTTCGCTGACGCTCCGTCTCTATGAATTCCGGCCTTGTGGCAACAAGTAACCGTGGCTGCGGATCAGATGAAAGTTCCCCGGGGCCCTCTTCGGATGGCGAAGTGAAGCAAAGGTCAACCCAGCGCTTCCATCTCCATTCACTGGAGATACCCTTGAACAAGTTCAGCATTGGCTTAGATACAATTCCGGCCCAATTACAACTCTATGGAATTTCAGCTCAATCCCACAACTACCTTCTCACGCCAGAACTTGTTGCATCTGAGGATTGACCTTCTGGGGGAGGAAGGGAGGGCATATTAATCCAAGGTTAACATGTCTCAAAACCTTAGAATCATGAGGGTGGATGTCCGCACTTGTGGCAAGAGGATTATCCCCTATACTACAATTACTTTGTAGTTGCATGTGTGGCTCAACCGAGAAACCCTCCAAGAGCGGAGGCCTCTAGTTTCCCCAAAATGGCTGAAACTCCTCTGTTTGAGGGATATGCCTGTTTCATGTCTCGACCAATCAGCAAAAAAAGCAAGGAGGGGACGACCCCAACCAACTGCTGGGCAAGAACATGCTACGTAAGTTTGCACCCCGCCTCGCAAACAGCAAAAATGTGTCGAAGTTGTGTGACCCCTTTTTGCTGGTGCGTTATTCAGTCATTCCAAATACCCACAAAACAAACACACAAAACAGTATCTGCTCTCTGGGCCCAGTTGCCGCGTGTCAACAGTAGGGACTCCTTGTGCTTGGTTCTAAGACGACATCTTGGACTCTCTGTTCAGACATACATGGATTTAGGAAACCAGCCAATCAGCAGGGAAAGAACACCGGCCAATCAACAAACATAATTTATCATATGCATATGTGTACAATATATGTACGTACATTAAAACAACAAGCAACAACAATCAAGAATCAACACGTTTTGTCAAATCAACAAATCAACATGTGAGACATCAACATGGGGTTTGTCTCACAATAAGTATCCCCCAAAAAACAAAAAAAACAAACAACAAAAAGTGTGGTTCCCTTGGTGTGGTTCCCTTGGTTTCCCTTTAAAACCACTCTAACCATGAGGCCAAGGTCAAAACTCCCTGTATCCCAAAAACACCAAGTAAAGAACCCGCTTTCTTTGGGCCATGACTCGCAGTTCCTCCACCGCTTTCCCCGCTTTCTTGGTTGACGTTGGAAGGGGAGCAACACTTCAAATTTTAGCAGTTGAGTGGTTGGATTTCAACCACTAAGCCATAAGCAAAAACGTTTAAATCATGCTTCCCAACAACCATGTCATGATGACCCCCAACTGGAAACAAGGACTCTGGTCAATCATTTCATGGGCCCCAGACTCGGTCAATGCCCCAGACCCATGAAGCTTCAACCACCGTATTCTTTGGGCCATGACATCTCACGGGTTCCCAACCAACCCGCTTGCTCCCCGCTTTCCCCCGGCTCAAGACCCCCAACCCCGAACCCCCAACCCCCACCCCCCCACCCCCCACCCCCCACCCCAAACCCATCCCCCACCCCATGAAGCTTTCCCCGGAGTTTCGCGCCTGGCGCCGTCGGAGAGGCTGTTGAGCGGGGTGCCGCAGCCGCAGGCCACGCCACCGCGCCGCGCGGAGGTGCGCAGCTCGAAGCAGCCGTCGGCCTGGCGGCTGAGCACCGCCTGCCCGCCCTCGCCCCACTCCTGGCGCCGGGGGCGGGGGGGGGGTTGGCGGGGGGAGGTGGCGGGGGGGCGGGGAGGTGGGGGGGAGGGTTTTGTGGCAAATTGGGACGAAAATTCGGATCTTGGGGGAGGGGCTTTTTATTTTCTGTTTGTGTTTCTTTTTTGTTGGGGGGGGGGGTGGTAATCGGGGGGGGGGGGGTTCAGGGGGGATGGGAAGGTCGATGGGAAAGGGGGAAACTCGTCTGTCAAAGTTGATATCCTCAAAACCTGGCGGAAACTCCAAAGTAGGACCCATCCAAGTGAAGCTTTCTGCATAAGCTCCCCAACTAGATGGGGAGATGGCAAGGGGGGGACCGAAAACGCGGGAAGGAGGTGGTACATTTTGCAACCATGGCTTCAGAGGGGCTTTGAGGCCGAAAGAGTTTTCACAGGCCAGGGAGGGGAAGCAAACAAGTGGGACCTGAGAGTCGCGCCGGGGAATCTGTTGACCCAAAACTGGGCAGCGAAATGTGTCCGGTTGCCCCAAGATTTCGGGGCACATTCGGACAACACAAAGCCAGGTTCCATTCGAGTTTCTTCCTTTGAGGGGAGTGTTGCAATACCAAGAAGCCGGTGGCTTTTGTGTGTCAAACTTCGCCCCATCTCGGGTTGTACATTCGAGTTGCACATAGGGCACATGACCCAGAGTTTGGACCTATTTCAATGGTCACTGTCATGGTGCCCGTGTTGAAAAGCTGCGCCAAGAAACGTTGTTCAGAGCAAATCCACCATGAGTGGATCCTTTCTGAGGAGGTTGTGGGGTTTCAATTGGAAACTGCAGGAAACCATGAATTTTTGGAGTTCCCCTACATCAGGGGTGAAAGTCAGCGGATGAACGAAATGGGGGGGGGGGGGGCGAACTGAAAAAAGGGGACCTGGACCCTCAACATTCCCCTTAAACATGCTCTTTGCCCCAAAGGCATGGATCAACAAATCCGATGCTTCTGGGTAGTTCTTGCGGGGTCATGAAACCAAGACTGCAGACACTGGGTTTCGGCAGCGAGACAAACCCACCCTCTGTAGCACTGCTTGGGCAGCTGAGCGGAAATCTGGAGTCAAGAACAACAAACGAGAGAACCCACCAAACAAAAAGGGACACCACGAAAGACTTGGATTTACCCGGCCCCTAAAACTCTGTTCTGCTCCAACATTATAATCCCCTTCTGCTTGGGGTAGTTTGAGGGTAAAGGCCGACACCCCAACATCTCCTCCATGCGGTCGTCCAGCGGCTCGCGTGTCAGCTCTCGGTACACTTCGTCTACCCGCCGCACCAGCCAGGCTTCTGCCCGCATGGCGCCCGCTGCCGAGCTCCTGACGTGGTTCCCCGCTCGTCAGATGGGCTTGGCAACGTTGTTTTTCTTGAAAAACCCGAAGGAGAAAGCCAGCCAATTGCAAATCACACATGCCAGATAAGCTGGGGTTGGTGGAGTTTTCGCGAACCTCCGAAAAAGAAAGCCAGCCAAGGGATGACAAATGCCAAATTTGCCAAGTCAGAACCAATGATCAAAGGGTCTGAGAGGCTCTGTGGGTGCCGGTGGGCCTGTGCCCCGGCGATGTCAACAGCCCCTGCCACTACACCAACTAAGGGTGGCAAGAGAGTGTTGATTAGTCTTTCTTTTTTTAAAGTAAGCTCAAACAGACCAAAGGCACTCGGGGGGAAAAAAAAGGAGGAAACAACAACTGGCAGAACAACTGCCTCAGATTCGTGAGCAAAGTGGCCGCACAATCTGCCTGGGGATGCTTCGAAAGAAATTTAATAGTAGTTTTGCATTTTTTTCCGGACAAACCTTCATTGGGATCCTGTTGCTTCTTGCCGCCTCAGAATGCCACACAATTCCGTATAATTTGACCGTGCCCCTATGTTTGGCAAAACGGGCACTTGACTTCACACGCCTGCTGGTAGATTTACAACCACTAGCACGTTGGTTCCACATCCCGACATGTTAACGCCGTTGCTCCGACCTGCAATCGTACCCATCAACAGCGTTATGATGTAAAATGGCCTCCACTTCTTCGCATTGAACTGTTGCGAGACTCACTGAACAAATTCGAACGAATTAAATGTTGCAAATGGCAATCTTGGCCGTGCTGCCAAACAAACAACAATGACACGCGCAACCGGGCCAACCAAGCTGGTGTGTTACGCATTTGTTTTGAGTGTGTGCGAGTGCGCATTGGTTGCGTGTCCCTGTGCTTAAACAATCATGCCAACAACAGGATGGGGTTTCTTCGAGCGTAGCTTGTGTGAGTTGATGCATGATTCAGTGTCTTGTCTCCCAAAGGTAGCAAAGACAATCGGTCGTGCGGTGTTTCGGGCCATGCTTGCTGTCGGCCGTTTGCCTGACTGCGAGTGTTCGCGATAGCCGGCAGTGCGGAAAGGCCAAGCTTGGGACCATGGTTCAGTCAAACTTGCCATGGACACGTCCCATAAAAAAGCCAAACTAAAGCTTAAATGTCACTCTTGAGGTTTCAGGAAAGCCCTTCGGAAGCATCGGATTGAGTCCTGTCGGCTGTCTTGGCATTCTTGCGCTTCAGAAGCGGCGCTGAGGTGGCCCCTTCCTGTTCGAGGAGTCCCACTCTGCAGTCTCTAGATGGGTCGGTCTGCTTTTGAGCGTACCCCCTGGTTTTGGGGGTTCTTCAAGGCAAACCAGCAGGAACACCGCCTTTTTTGGGGGGTGGAGTCCCCTGAAATATGCAAGTGAATCACACACAAAGGAAGAAACATGGGTTCTCATTGTTGCAACTACTTGCAAGAGTCAATCAACCATCGAAGAATGTCTCATTGGCATTTGCTCCCATGCAGATTGCCATAGAATCCAGGAAGGGAGTCCGCCAAAGAAGATGTGTCTGAACATCTGATGAGGAGTAGCCAAAGGCAAAACCTAAAGCGAAATAGTTGAACTCAGTGAGCGGCCTTCCACTCTCCACTAAGTGGGTGTCGCAGTTTCAGTTCTTACATGGTATATGCCACATAACTTGGTGCCTAGTTTTGCTCTTGGGAGGCACCACTTGTGAAGCTCGGTTAACATGCCAACTTTGCTAGTTGATACACGTTGCGCTCAGAATTGCGCGGTCCAAAAACTAACGGCATGAACTGTAAAGCCAACATCACTGACTTCCAGAAGTACAGTAGACTGCCTATACCACAAGCACAGGCAACACCAGGCTCTCCAAATCTAGTTCATTTTGATTCAGAGCTTTCGCCCCTGAAAGTATTGCTCCACTTGTTCCATTGCTTACGTTCCATTCATGATACCTTCATTCATGATTCAAGGACCTTTATCACTTTGTCTCGCTTCATCCAATCCCATGATGTCACGTCGCTGCATGTCAATTGTTTCCTTCCTCGATTCCTCGAGCGCGCTTACTCCGTCAATAGCCAGCCGGCCAACGATCATACAAACTGCTACCTTCCCGCCAACCAAAACTCGGCTGCTTGCTCCCCTGCCAAAAGTTTAACTTTGGGTGGTTTAGTGGAGAACCCATTAGTTGGCAACAAGTTAAAGTCCTACCATCCAAGCAAAATGCACTAGAGAAAATGAAAGTGCACAAGCTCCATGTCCAAGATGGAACAAGTCGACAGTAAGTCTGTGAGGCCGGAACGGTGGCAATGCATCAAAGACTCGATTGCCTGAAAGCTCCGTGAGGGGCTGGAACAACAGCCATACCGGGAGATTGCTAAAACTTTGATTCAAAATAGTGAGCCCCCAGCCCCTTCTCAGTTGCCAAAGGACCCGAAAATCAAAGGTTCACCTTTTGGCGCCATGGCAAGAAATGGACCAACCACGGAAACCAACAGGTTACAAGGACGATTCGCTTTGAACTGAGCCTTTCAACATGGTGAAAAGAAAACCACCAGCGATCCAACCGTTTTGGTCCCTGGGCCCCGTTCAGCCAATGCATCGTTCAGCTCTTTAAGCAAGAGGCTTGATCAATAATTCTTCTTCGGCCACCAGTTTCGAGGATCTGTGACTGTCCCATTCGGGACATATCATCTGTTTAAGGACCTTTTGATCGACCCTCACATCTGCTTGCGCGGGCTGGCTCACGGGAGTCACCTCCATCTTCGGGGTTCAAACTTTGGTTGAAACAACCAGCACCCCTTTCGCCCCCTTTGAAGGTTCAACGTGCTGAAACGGCCAAGTGGTCTGCTTTCTTCCAGACACCTTTATCCCCAAAACGAGCCGTCCAAAGTTTGCGCCGAGCTGCGAGGCCCACTCGTTCGATCTCCTGCAGGTAAGGGTGCCAAACTGAATCAAACCCAGTGAGAGGAGTGCGACCATGGTAGGTAGGGAGGGGTTCAACCAGGGAAATTTGGGGTGCATGGGGTTGGTTGTCAATGACGAAACTCACAAACAGGTTGAACGATCAACCAGGGTCAATGAAACAACCGCCCAAGGGCTCTCCCCTGTGGTTTTGTGTCTTCTCTGGAGTTGGTGCCCTTTCTGTGGTTGTTTTAATGGAAACCAAATAGAAACATGTGTGAGATTTCTCGGACTCGAATATACCCTGACTCACGGGTTGAGCCCGGAAGTCGTACGGAAACGGGAATCGGACACATTCGCCAGTCCCAATGCCATTTGGGAAGAGTCTCCTCTTGACCATTAGGCGGGCAACGTGAGATCGAAACGAGTCCCAAGAAAAAGCGCTTGGCCCTTACAAGCATGCGTTCCTTCGAAGCCGCGTTTACCAATCATGGCCTCCTTTGACCCCAAAAAGGGCCTCTTTGTTTTGGCGCGTCATCTAAAAACCAA